ACATAAGGAGTCTTTAGATTCATGACAGTTTCTTTGAGATCCATCTGCTAAACGTCCTGTTTTATCAGAGTCTGAAATAAACTTACTCCTTCCAAAGACAGTAGAGCATCCAGTATCTCCTAAGACTACAACTGGTTGATCATCACCTGGCCTTTTACTAAATCCAAACCCAATGCAGCCGATGTTCAATTACTGGCGACCCGTTGTCAACTCCGGATAATTTGAGAATCACCGTATCCCTTGATGAATCTTGTAATAGATCTACAACTTTAGACTCAGACTTATCTAAAAACAACCCAACATTTTCTGACCTTTTCTCAGGCTTTGTGCCTCTCTGACCTTTACCGTCTAAACCTTTTGACTGAGTTTTCTTAAATAAACAGTTTGCTGCAATATGTCCAACTCTATCGCAATTGAAACACTTTCTGATATCCCCCGTATTAAAGGTGAACTTGAGGTTTGACTTACCATTTTCCAGTCGACTTATTTCCTGTACCACCATTAAATTGGACACTATTGCCACGAAGATAATTACTTTTATGTGCCGCCTGAAATGCATTAGACAACGCTACAACCTCCTCATTAGACTTTGGGTCATGCTCAAGAATCCACAACTGTAAGTCTTTTAGACAGCTTCTAACAACCTGTTCTCTCAAAACCATATCATGCAACTTGCCAAAATCTGAATCTATTTTCTTACGTTCACACCAGTGATTAAGGTACCTTTCTACCCGAACAACAAAATCTTTTAAACGACTCATCATTTGACTGCTTACCCTGAGGAAATTTTTCCCTGTAATCCTCAGAAGTAAGCTGACACATCTTGAGAATAGCAATTTTGATAACCTCATACTTATCACTTTCTGCATCCGACAATCTTGAATACGCTTCCAAAGTCTTACTTGCTAACAAAGGAACTAAGCGAATGGCCCACTGGGATTTGTCCCATTTCTGCAACCCAGCTATCTTTTTATACGACCGTAAAAAGACATCAGGGTCCTGCTCCTCCTCAAACTTGGGTAACCTAACAGTTGGGCATTTAATCTCATGAGGTTGAGACCCCCCAGTTATAGCATGTTCTAGTTCTTTTTCTCTTAAAACTAACTCTCGTAATTTCAGATCTCTTTTTACCTCTAGTTTTGCACTATGGAATATCAGACATTGTAAAAGTTTTTTGAACCTGCAACACAAAAACAAAGTTAATAATAGAAACAAACAAACAAGCAAAATATTTCCTTAATTTACCTAAGCTCAGATGTATCCCACCGCTGCCACCAAATTGTTGAGATGTGAGTTATACACCTTTAGAAACCGAATAAATCAAGGAAACAACAAAAAACGAAATTTTAACAAAATTTAATAAACAAAACAAAAGTAAATTTTTACAACAAAAACAAATAAAAATAATAGAAATGAATTGTCTATCTGCAGACCATCCTGGGAAGTGTCCTGGAAAGTGAATTAAGTGATCACAGCACCTCTGCAGAATTTTGGTGTAGAATTTCCTCTCACGTATTTTCACAAATGAAATTGAATATAAATTCACAAATAACACATTATTCACTGTTTTCTAAACTTTCACAATGCTGTTTGGATTATCTTTGGATTTAATTGATGTATTTTCAGAGAGTTGATTTCTTTCTCCAATATCAATTTAAACACTTAACTTTTAATTGCTGGTCCCGAGTTGTCTGTCAGGACTGAAGTATCTCTCTCTCTCTCTCTCTCTCTCTCTTGTGCTGTTGTAACTGCATAATCAAGACACTCCCTCTCGCCCTGGACTGGCTATTGTATCATAGAAATTCAAGTACCCCGCCCAAGACCTGTGCCATTTAAAAACAAGAGGCCCATGGGCCACATCGCTCACCTGAGTAACTTTGGCCATGCTGTTCTTTACCAGATTTCCCCCCTTTTAATATACCTATTGTGGCCCCGCCCTACCCCCGAGGGTCATGATTTGAACAATTTAGAATCTACACTACCTCAGGATGCTTCCAAATAAGTTTCAGCTTTCTTGGTCCAGTGGTTCATGAAAAGAAGATTTTTAAAGATTTTTCTTATATATTTCAATAAAAAACTTGCATTCCCTATTGTGTCCCGCCCTATCCCTGGGGGTCATGATTTGAACAATGTATGCTTCCACTTAAGTTTCAGCTTTTCTGGCCCAGTGGTTCTTGAGAAGAAGATTTTAAAAGATTTTTCCTGTATATTTCAAAGTAAAACTTGGATTCCCTATTGTGGCTCCGCCTTACCCCCAGGGGTCATAATTTGAACAATTTAGAATTTACACTACCCCAGGATGCTTCCATATAAGTTTCAGCTATTCTGGCCCAGTGGTTCTTGAGAAGAAGATTTTTAAAGATTTTTCTTATATATTTCAATGTAAAACTTGGATTCCCTATTGTGGCCCCGCCCTACCCCCGGGGGTCATGGTTTGAACAATTTAGAATCTACACTACCCCAGGATGCTTCCATATAAGTTTCAGCTTTTCTGGCCCAGTTGTTCTTGAGAAGATTTTTAAAGATTTTTCTTATGTATTTCAATGTAAATCTTGGATTCCCTATTGTGGCCCTGCCCTACCCCCGGAGGTCATGATTTGAACAATGGATGCTTCCACTTAAGTTTCAGCTTTTCTGGCCCAGTGGTTCTTGAGAAGAAGATTTTTAAAGATTTTTCTTATATATTTCAATGTAAAAATTGGATTCCCTATTGTGGCCCCGCCCTACCCCCGGGGGTCATGATTTGTACAATTTAGAATTTACACTATCCCAGGATGCTTCCACATAAGTTTCAGCTTATCTGGCCCAGTGGTTCTTGAGAAGAAGATATTTTAATGACCCCACCCTATTTTTGTCTTTTCTTGATTATCTCCCCTTGTAAGGGAACTTGGCCCTTTATTTTAGCAATTTACACTCCCCTTCACCCAGGGATACTTTGTACCAAGTTTGGTTAAAATTGGCCCAGTGGTTCTTGAGAAGAAGTTGAAAATGTGAAAAGTTTACAGACGGACGGACAACGGGTGATCAGAAAAGCTCTCTTGAGCTTTCAGCACAGGTGAGCTAAAATGGGACGAAAACTCGAGGAAATAGGACCCTGATGTACTTTTGAGCACCCGCCCAGGCTACTTCAGAATAAGTCAAACAGGTCTAATCGTGGCTGTAACTTCCCGAGTACTCTCCGAACACGAGCTCTCAGGTAGATAAAGTTGCTGATCAAGGGGCTCCCAACGGGATAAGGACCAATATTTATTATCACACGATAGGGGTATCAAATGGGATAAATTTAGTTTGTTACAATACATAATTGAAAGAAAATACACAAAACTTTATAAAAAATAAAAAAAAAATTGAATAGGCAAGAAAATAAGAATATAAAAGTGTGGCACCGGGTAGATTCGAACCACGACTCTAGAAAAGTATCCCTATGTTAATATTCAGCTGATATACCAGTTGAGCTATTCTGGCTATGAAAATAGCTGGTATAAATGTAAACCAGGTTGTCAAAAACAGGCTTCCTTATTTTTTGTGAATTTCGACCCTAGGGCAGGGGTGCCCCTAAAAAATCCTATCTTAAGAGCCCTATATACACTGCACACTAAAGAGTAATGATTTTATGGTATTTTATGCATATAGAGTAATCTGCCTTTTGATCAAGAATATAATAAATTGAAATGCATAATTTATTAATTAATTTGTAATTAAATCAAACATTCATAACATTTTAATGGGCCAAGATGAATAGATTAAACACTTCATTTGTAGGTATTTTGTCCACTAAGTAAACAGCAGTGATTTCTGTTCATCAGTACTTCATTGTTTTTAAACATTTTTCCTGGGGGTAACTGCAAGGCACCCTATGTTAAAAATTTGATAGATAAGCTCAATATTTACATCTTTTCACACTATATTTTCTCAATGTCCAAAACATCTTTTCCTCTCGTTTATAGAGGGTCCTTAAATTATTCCTTACATCACAACCTATCAAAATATCATAATTTTGTTTAGGGCAGGCCTGCTCTGAAGGACTTCCAGGCCAAAATTCATGCAAAAATCGGTGCTTTAACGGATAAAACGCTGTTTTGGACAACTTCGGAGGTAAATTATAAAAATGTAATAAAGGATGATGGCACTTAAGGACATGCGAAATTTGCGACAAAATAAACTTTCAAAACAAGCATTTTTCTTTTCATTGCAAGAGTGGTCAACATCCAATCTACAACTTTATGTAATTACGTTTAATAAAAGTGTGTATTTACGAAGTTCGAATCTGTTTTCAAAGGCAGGGGTCATCACAATTTCTTGAATCTCCGTTCGATAATGAGGACGCCCACTTTTTTTACTGACTTCATACATAGTCAGCGCATGTTTGTCTATTGTTCTACTTTTAACAGTAGTTGTATATTTGCATAAATAATAATGCGCTCATGGTTAAAAAGAGAAAAAAGCTGCTTCTTCTTACATTTGCTCTCTGTGTTGTAACCAAGGGTTGTGACATGTTGAATATTATAATTCACCACGTGATTTCTTACATCAGGTAACTTTGTGAATACTAAATTCCGTCACGTGACTTGTAAAGTAGCATGTTTTGTGCTAACTAGGACATTGTGTTCGAACACGTTAAGTCATCTGGCACTGATATAAAATCTGCTTTAATTACATTGACGTGCTCATATTATTAATTTCGTTTTGAATCCTTTGTCAGTATTGTATTTGTGCCATATAGAACGGAGAGGGAGATGGGAAAGAGTGATCACGTTCCTTATTTCAAATATGTCATTGTTATTTATCTAGTCTAATTTTAGACCCATTCTTACAATGTTAGCTCCACCTCTCATGCATATCTAATGTTCAATCAAGGGCAGGTAAGTGTAAATTCTCTATATTTGGAAAGCAGTAAGGACAAAAAACATTAATCATTTCATTGTATCACAGTCTAAAAACATCTTAAGATTTAAAATTTGGTTCCAGATTGACAGGATTCTTTCATAAATATACAGAAGTTTGGTTTGAACATATTTTATTGCAATAAATATATACAATGGGATTGGGCACAAGTTCTAAAAACTTAATTCGCCCTCTCCCTACATGTTATATCACAAAAAATTCAATCAGACGTGTCCAACAGCATGTACAAAGTAAATTAACTCACAACATAGAAACATATACTGCTAAATTATTATCTATACACATTTTTAGAAAAATCAATTAAATCTGCCTGAATGCTGAATATAAGATTGAACAATAGAGAAGAGATATTCATTTTCAGCAATACTGAGTGAAGTATCCCCCCAGAGTAAAGTATGAGTGTCAACAATATGAACTTTATTAAATCTCAAAAACTTATCGAAGAAATCTTTCCTGGCCTCAGTGTATTTAGGACATGAGAAAAAATAATGATGTGTGTCTTCTACCTTACCACAAGAGCATAATGGACTAGATATTATGTTACACCTATAAAGATCAATGTTTAGCACACAATTGTGTCGGAGTCTAGTGTGCAGTATATTGTAGCGTCTTTTTCCAAAACTGAAATAAGGCTGTAGACTGCAAACATACAAATCATCATTTGTACCAACTGTAGTAAACGAGTGGAATTCTTTATCGCTAGACACCAGACTCTCGAGCTCCTTATCTGCTTTTAAAAGTAAAATCACACAAAAAATAACAATAGCCCCGCCTTATTTCACTTAATTTTGACTTAATTAGACAGAAAAAAGCAAAGTAATTAATAACCTTGGAGCATTTTATCACAATTTAATAGAATAATCTATCTTTAATTACAGGAACAACGCATTAACATAGCTCTCACATTGATCATTACAGAGAACAAATCTACATGTTCATATATTTTCCAGAATACTTGTGACTTACCAATATCCGCAAAGAAATCTTCTTTCCTTAAAAAAATATTTTGATATGTTAGCTAATGTCGTGGAACATGGAAAAGAAAAGACAAGAATACAAGATGACAATGCTCAAATCAACTTAATCTCTCTTTAATCACTTCTTTTATACAATTAACAAAAAATAGTCAAAGTTATGACACATCAGTGATACTCTTAAGTTAACATTTAAACGAATATATATAATGGCACAAATACATAAACTGTCAATAGTTAATTATAAAGTTGGTTTCTTTTGGAAAAATCCTTAGTGTAAAAGCAAAATTTTTAAATGATTGAACAGAGGGAAATGAACCGTAAGGCATGATCTACATTTTCCACGGCAATTCTCACATTCCATTAACAATTATAATTACTTCAATTCATATGTCGACTCGATATATCCCAGTGAACCTGAAATAAAAGACACCACAGAGTCTGCCACATCTGTTACATATTTGGATATTTTACTGACTATAGACGATTAAGGTCAACTAACAACTAAATTGTATAACAAACAAGATGACTTCGGTTTTTACATCGTCAACTTTCCTTCATTATGTAGTTATATCCCGCTTTCACCTGCATATGGTGTTTACATCTCCCAACATTCGATACTCAAGAGTGTGCAACGAGTACAATCAATTTTTAAACCGAGGCAGGCTACTGACAGATAAGTTGATGTTACAGGGATTTCAACAATTTCCCTTAAAGTCAACATTTTTAATGCCATGGTCGTTATAATGACTTTGTTAGCAAATATAATCTATCAATGGGTTGTATTTTGGCTGACTTGTTTCATACCAATTGTGAAGCCTTTGTTTTTATACAGAATTCGACCATGGAATGTCCCGTCTACCTGATCAATACATAGGGCTCACGGCGGGTGTAACTGGTCTACAGGGGATGCTTACTCCTTCTAGGCACCTGATCCCACCTCTGGAATCCCCTCCCCCTCCAGGGATCCGTGTTGTTTGCCCTCTTCTTAGATTTGTATTGTTTATAGATTTTTTTTTGAGATCGATCACTGTTCGTTATCTTCACCTTTTTCATCCAAAAAAATATATGTTTCTCCTTTGATATAGTTATATATATCAAAGATGAATATTTACCTCAAAACTCATATGCTCATAATCTATTGGGCTCAATGGATTTTCCAAAGATTGTCCATAAAACGTGAAGAGAGATAGCTTCAAAAATAAAATCTTAAATTTAATGTTATTTACTTCATGACTTTACAAGGAAGAAAATTTATAAGTTAGAAACGTTTTCTTATTTTAAAAAAGCAAAAAAACCCACTTCTATAAGTTTTCTTTCATATAATCCTGGATACTGCAGTCCGATGATGTTTTCCTGGGAATACACTGATTCCATTCTCGTGTCCATTGGTGCATCGTTTCCTACAATGACAACACCAATACTATATAAAACCTTGTATAACATAATCGTAATACAATGCAATTGTCTCACCGGTAAATAAATAGCTGAAGTTAATGAAAAACGATATAGGTATTGTAGCAAAATAAATCTGGCAAACCTTAAGTCTTCTTGGTACAAGTATATGTTATATTAAATAGTTTATACCGAAAACCTAGTTATATACCATTATTAATTCATAAACAAGGTGGAAAGCAAATAGTATTGGAAATTATTTTGCCATATAAATCGTGTTTGATACATGTAGCTCAAAATTAGAAAGAAGATGTCCTAATAAATGCATACTGGAGCTGAAAGTAAGGTCCACTTTTAATTGAATTGTAAGAATATGGTTAATAAATTAACAATTTTTAATGAAAATGAAAAGCTTTGAAACATCACCATACTAATTTCTCAAATTGCACACAGTCTGTTTATGAATAAAAATAAGTAAAAACAATTTAAAATACAGATACGTTTAAGATATATTTTCCTCATTGTTTAAAATAGTTACTTGTTTGTAAAAATTTAACATTCACTGACCTGTTATGAGTAAAATATGGCAAGGTCTGCCTTTGCTCTGTGTTGTTCTGTACTCGGACAACTGTGTTGTCGTTTGAAGAGAAATCTTGACAATGTATCTGCTTTTTGGTTCAAGCATAATTCTGCCCTCAGTATTCACTATGAATTCGTCTGCAGTGCACTCAGATTTCCAGAGGACATTCTTTAGTGGCTTTCGAATCTCAACAAATACTGTCTGGAAGTTGGACAAGGTAGGTCGATGGATTACAACTAATTCCTGAAGACGCAGTGGTCTTATGACGTCATCAAGGTACACATTATGGCTTGGACAGGTTATGGTTAATGAAGCTTTGAATAGATATTTGTGATTTCATTGTTGTGCGTAGTTTTTCAAAATTATTTGACAAAGATTTATTTCACTTATGGCCAAAACACTTATTTCAATATGGGTAATATACATTTAATTTTTATTAACTAAACCATTTTTACCGAAGTTCTTTAGCTGCAATGATTTATCCAGCTCCTTTTTTTCGACATAAAGAGAAAATGGGAAGTCCAACGGTGAAACCAACAATTCGTCTGAGCTTTTCAGGGAATTTAAGTGTTTCTTATGTTGTTCGAATCTAAAATCATTAGTTTTTGTTGAATGCTTGTTTTAAAGATTGATTTTCTGCTAAATGACTCATAAGAATAAAAAAAAATCCTACCTTTCCCATAATTTTGGTACATTCTGAAAATTAAATTTAAAAACATATTGATCATAAAAATCATTTTGCTTTATATGGAATATTTATTATCCTTGATAATCAATTTTCAAGCTTTAAAAATAGATCCAAATATGGTAACTTACGAAATGGAAAATCAATAGAGATTTTTTTCCCAGGGCATGTAAGGACTCGGAAAGTAGTTTATTGTCTTCTGTCATGAAAGACCCATATTCTCTTCGCATCTGTCTTATTCTTTTTAACTGCAAACTGAAATCCTAAATCATCAAACAGACAAGATAATTATGTCGAATCTGATGTTCTAACTCAGAAACGAATGCTTTTAAGAAGTTTCAATAATTGTGATTGGTTTAAATGGGTCTTAAATTGTAAGATGGTTAAGTATTGTGTTGCACTCCAAAGAATCTCGATATTGTTAGAACAATTAACCGTGGAATTTTAAGACATTTCCTTGTTTTAATTTTTGTTTTGATCATGGTTGTGGAAAATTGAAATTCTTTTTTTGGGCTAAGTGCATGTATATTTTTGAGAAAACAAAAATGGTAATACTTCTTTATATTATATATTATTGTTTCAATCAAATCAGCATCGTGATGGTTAACGATTGGAATATTTTCTCTTATTTAAAGATACAAATTTGACATTCATTAAATGCATGTATAAAGGTAAAAATGAAGTACATTCAATATACACTCTGAATTATAATTTTTGCAATATGTGTTTATACATTTATGATTAAAAATCTTTACTATCTGAAGGACTAGATAAAGGGTTTTACATCAAATGCAAAAATCATTACTATACATGAAAATTAGTCAAATAAATAAATACTTAGTCTTGTATTATCACATTCAGGTTTGTAAGGAACTAGAACACATTATATTTATAATTAATCCACATATATTAGAAATACTTTTTTCTCTTTGCACATGTACTAGCATTTACATGTGCAATTTAAAGACTTTTGTTTTGACACAATATGCATTCCTGGAAATGATACATATTTTTAAAAAAATCCTATACTCTGTGGATCCCAACATAAACATGGCATATAATGCATCTTTAATTTTGGGTAACATTGTGGAAGAATAGAAGTTCATTATCAGACAATCTTCAAATAGAAGCATAAATTTCACATTTACTTATGGTTATATCAAAGTGAAGGTGTTTAAGTTTTTTTATGGATTGAAAACGGTGGTGCAGTTAACCTGGTCTAAATCCTCGTACATTTGTTGTTCTCTAACAGTTATCAAATGGCGGAGTGATGCAAGCTCCTGTCTTAAAGATTCCTTCTTCTGAAGAGCATTCATCTAGTAGAAACCAAAATAATAATAATAATAATTCCACGATAATCTATAATGAATTATGTTTTATAAACAAGTAAAGAATTGTTTGGACATTTTCTATGTAAAACTAGTACACATTATATAATATATATGTATATAAATTTCAAATATTTCTAGCAAAAAGTTGTTTGAAGTAATTTTTTTTAAACGAAATATCACGAAAATCAAAAATTTGGCCGAACATTGGATTTGTTTTATATTTATTTCATTTGAAAATGCCGACCGTCTGAATGTGACAACTACAAGTGGAACAATCATGTAAACAGTCTATAAAATTTTGTTGTTTGTCCAGAAGTAGATCTTAAAAGATATTAATATTTACGGTAATGTTCTGCTCAATCATGTCCAATTCTGCAGAAAGCATATTGACTGTATGAGAACTGACATCGGAAAAATTATGGATTGCTTCATCATATTTGTCCTGGTAAAAAATTAAAATTGATTGAGGCTTCTTGCTATAAAGATACATTAAGAAATACATGTATTAATTTTTTTGAATAATGAACATGCAATATATTAAGTATCTTAAATCAAGTTCTCGTTACTAACCTTTTCCTCTGTGATATGTTTCAAAAGTTTTATAATTTTGTGTTCACGACATTTTCCTTTACCAAGGACACATTCCTCGCATCTTAGTGCTTTGCAGACTTGGCAGAAATAACGACCAATTTGCTTGTGCTCAGAACAAGCAAAGGAATGGAAAGGTTTTGATTTACAAATAGTATGACTTCTGGGATGAAATCTTAGAAAGCAATTGTTGCAGAAATATACCATGCAATCTTCGCAAACATTGTAGCTTTCACTTGTCAGGCCACAATAATTACAATAGTGATCAGACAAAGTTCCTAGAGCTTTGGAAGACACTGTCAAGTTTGAAGTATTTGTTTTATGTTCTGTACCTATTTCTTTCTTTGTAACAAATTTTCTTCTGTCATTTGGTGGTAAAAATTTTAAATCAAAAGAAAATGTTTTGTAAAACTCATCAGGCTTTTTACATTGTAGTTTACTGGTAGAGGAAGTCAATGTTTTTTCTACATTCTTTGGGGAATTTTCTCCAACTGAGTGTCTCAATTCTTCTTTTGAAGAAAGTGTATCATTTTTTGAGTTCAAAACACCCCTCAGAGAATCTTTTTGCAAATCAGCACAGAATTCCTTTTGCTGCATTTCATTGCTTGAATTGGATGATCTATTGTCACACATAGCATCCTTTCCATACCCTGTAAGGTTTTTACATGAATCCTGAACATTGATAGTCTGCTCCAATATATTTGTTTTTCTGTAACGATATTTTTCATCCACTGTTTTAATTTCTGGTAAAGCATTTTCGCTTTCACGATTTCTTGTGCATTCAAATTCTTGATCCCAGCTTTTGTGTGTATCTGTATGAAGATATTGTCTACTGTCTCTTTCCTGAATATTCTCTTTTGACTGAATTAAACTTCTGGTAACTTCACTTTTCTCAGAGTTGTCTAAATCTGTATTAGAAAACTTTGCTGGAGGGGCTTCAAAACCTATCATTTTCTCATCAGTAACAACGCTTTTACTGGAAATCCCCTCGACTCTTTCATCTTTAGTGTTTTTAAAATCAGCTTTCGTTTTTGTAATTATTGAATTCAATGCAGTAATTTCACTCTTTTCGTACAATGATTCTTCATTCTCGTTATATTCTTCTTCGTGCCTATCTTTTTCCTTATTTGAATCACTGTCCTCTTCAACCGTTCCTGTTTTCATCAAACGTTCTTCCATTGAAATATGAAGCTCAGTAACTTCTCTGATTTGTTCATCTCGATGTATGGATTCCCTCATCATGCTACTTTTGAGATCATTTTGTTTAACACTATTGACCAAATCACCACCGCTATTTCTGTCGTATGAATTCGCAATCCCCTCATCTGATTCGGACTTCCTTATTTCTTCCTCATGCTCAAGTTTAAGTCTTTCTTCCATATCTGTAATGGTTTCATTTCCCGATTTGTCTCTGTTTTCCATGATTAGATCATACCTAACTTGTATTTGGACCATACATCTCTCTAAAATGAACTCTCATTTATAACATGTGCTTTAAAGTTAGCGATGTGAACTTTAACATAAATCATATAAACACAATACGATATTACTTCCGCAAAATTTAACAAACGCGACGAGATATATATTACTCGATTTATTTAACATGAATGATTTAAGAGCCAAACCAAAAAAAAAAAAAAAAATCAAAAATACCTAGAAAGGTTGGAACAATGATGCATTTTGTGCATGACAACAAAACTCCTATTTTCGTTTTCTTTTAGTGAATTATATACGAGTATATCAAGATCGGGTTGTCAAAATTAAATTGTCATTGCGCAATATCTTGTGCAGAGTTGTCGATCGTCCCTCCCTCAGATCAGACACCTCTTTAAAAGTATAAGAAATTCCAAAGATCCGATCAAATGAGAAAAATACTTCTATATACAGTACTTAGTAAATATTTACCCTTAAGACAAATATAAGTACAAGTATCTTCTGATTATGAATTAAAAACAAATGGACTAATCATGATATTATCGAGCCAGTTAAGGGGTGAATGTATGTGCCGATGGTGAAAGAGTGGTCATTCAGTTGTAAATGTCGGAGTTATAGGCCTAATGTACACTGTACATACTCATACATGATTCTCAATAGTAAATACCTTCAAATAAATTAAAAATTTTGTGTGAATGAAATAAAAGATATAATCATAATATTAAAAATGCAGAAATGAAAATATGCTCGTGTATAACGTTTGCCTTTTGAAAGAGAGATAGGTGTCTAAAGATTACCAGATCTTTCATGTGCTTTATTAGCAAATATTTTATTTACACTTAAGGATAAATAACACAAACTTTTTTCAGAAATCAGCAATATTTCCCATAGATTAATGTTCAAATAGGTAACCTGAATGGTATTTCCCAAGTAAAATGAGAGAATTTTTAAGATTTTGTCACAATGTCAGAAATATGTGCAAATTTTTGTATAGAATTACATAGAAAACATTACAAGCACCAAAGAAAACTTACGATTTCTTTATATTTTAGGGATTGACTCTATGTCATTTCCATTCAAAATCAGTCAAAAAATATATATCAATCCATGCATCAAATTTTTGTTTGTGTTATGTATCCTTAACAAAACTTCTAAGTGTTCACTCTGATAAATGTATTTATTTAAAAATTACATCATGATGATAGAATGGTATGATATTTTCAAATGATCATAACCAATGTGTCTCCTTAACAATTGTCGCAAGAAATTCAAATATTACCAATGAAAATCAATGTCCCGTAACGAAGCTTAAAAACAATAAATCGGTACTTTGCGGCACATGTTTTGTGTAATCGGCTTCTTTTTGTGACCATTATCAATCTTCAACAACTGGTTTAATTAAAAAACACAAAACATGGGCAAAATGACCCTTGAGGAAGGATTCCTTTTAAAAGGAATGTCAAAGCCCTCCCCTCTTTCACTCAGTTTCAACGATTTAGAAAGATCGATACAGCAGGTGTGGCAGCACATAGGTAAGTCTTCTGTTCAGAGGTACATTATGTACATGAAGAAACTATGTCTTGCAGTGACTAAAGCGAGAGGTAGTCTTACTCCATACTGATTATTTTATGTGAATTTTCATTTTGAGGGTACATCATTTCCTTGACACTTTGCTCTAAAGAACGGCGATCATGGCTTAAGTAATGCAAAAAACCTTCTTCTTTTTTTTTAAAGAAGGTATTTTAAACAATATTTTCATAACATTTTCATAAAATTGTGAAGTGGAGTAACAGGTAATATATTAGGTTTAAAAAGTAGATTAGGGGCTAATCTAGTAACAACGCTTGAGCAAATATAAAAAAAAAATTAGAAGAGTTGTATTTTTGGATGGATAGTAAATATACATGTACATGTATATTCATCAACAAGTTATTACTTGTATTCCTTTAAAAACCTTTACAGTAAACATAAATCAAGAATACCTATTATATTGATGACATTAAAGAGGACTTTAAAACATATTACTTGGTCTTTTTTTTAAAAAGTGGAGATTAATCGATTGCATATTGCTTAACACCGAATCAGCTGTATTTCAGCCATATTTCGGCGGTAAATTGGAGAAAAACACATATACATGTACATACAAACAGACACAAACACACACATATAATTATACAAATCCTGGAACAGGGATTAAATAGGTTATTTATTACCTCTATGAACTAATGTGACAGAACCTCTTTCAATTTATATATATTAATGCAATCAATGCATGTATGACATTAAAAGTATATATATATATATATATATATATATATATATATATATATATATATATATATATATATATATATATATATATATATATATATATATAACTTCACATTTACATTATTCTTATCAATCAATAGTCAAAAGTCTGAATAATACAGGATGTAATTGATAACAATCAACCACAATTTGTCCTCAATGTAAAACATCTCTATTTATATACGTATATGTTGAATCTGTTATTTATAAGCAGGTATGTTAACAAAGGATGCCAGTTTCTCTCTAACCTGGGATCATTAGGTGTAATGCTTTAAAAATTGTTTCAAATGTTCATAGTACAGAAGTATTCACTAACCAGCAACCTATAATTTTCCGAATTAGAGCATTTATATCACGATTTACAAAATTTGACTATCCCCCTGGTTATATAATCCTGTAACCTAAGCTCTTCCGGACTATAGTTTTCATACTCTTTCATGGCAGAAATGGATTGAAACCGTGCTTTGCCATCTGTTGGAGGTCTAAACCTTCCTGTTATATGCCCATTCAAAACCTCTCCTGTATAATAATAAAACAATAGAATGATACAGTACAAGGATGATACAATACTACAACATTTTTTTTATATGAAACATAATAATTTCAAAACACATTTAAAAGATAAATTTGCCCTAAAATTCTCTGCAGCATTATTTTGTTTTTATCAACAGGATCAGCTTTTCAAACATTTTTCAAAATGTGATGATCATTTAGCAATTAAAGGAGAATAAATTTAAATAATTTTAATTAAGCATTCTTCTGCTTTCAGCTCTTCTAAACTTTTATTCTCTAAATTAAACTAGAGATATTGTAAGCAAGCTTACAAAATAATACCCCCGCTGCAAGATTTTAAAGTGCCCATTCTCAATTTTGTAAATATGACCTTGCCAAAATGACCTTGGTTTAAAAAATGATTCCTCCCCTGGTCACAAATAATCTTTGAGTGAAAACACTAATCTCAATGACCTTGAATTCGCTGGAATGACCTTAGGTCATAGTCTATACATATCCTCAGAAGATATGCAATATTTGTGATAAGTACGAGCCTCTTATGTTCTCCGTTACAAGATGTATGGTCTAAGCAGGAATTAAACATTTTATTTTGTAAGTGACCTTGAACTTCATCAAATGACTTTAGATTGAGGTCATGATGCACCTTCAGGTCATAAGCAATCTGTGTATGAACTTTGATCTTCAATGATTCTACATTAAGAGGTTGTAGATTGGACAAAAATATATTTTTTTCTGCCAGTGACCTTGAACTTGCCAGAATGACCTTGGATCAAGATAATGAAACACCCTCAGGTCAAAAACTATCCTTGCACAAAGCATGAGCATCCAAAGCTATAGCCTGGACAAAATTGCAAGGACAGTCAGACAGACGGACAAGGTGATTTCTATAAACCCCCAAACTCCATTTGCAGGGAATTAAAAAAGATGTTATATAACTGCATGGTGCTTAGATTTGATATAGCCTTGTTGTTTTACAAAATCTGCTTTTTTGCTATTAATGCATGTCTTATTCAAATGTTTTTTTTTTTTGGTCTTGAATTCTTTGAATTATTAAAAAATCAAAGAACATGTAAAATATATTTGTATTCTTACCTGATTGTAAAGAGGTACCAAACGGTGAACAGTTTGTTCCGACGTCAAGAAAATTTTTACCTTCAAGGAAAATGTGTACATAGGATAATTATTCAACATGTTATTGTCTAAATAGAACAAAATGCAGATGTTCTTACAGATTAAAGAATATTTTACTTTTTTATACCTGTGATCACCAGAACGTTACAAGGACTACTTAAGCTCTTCGTAAATCTCTTGTCAGACATTTGGAATGAAGTTTGTACATGAAATCTGAAAATATATCTGTGTGATGGTTCCAAGGCTGTCAGGTTTCCTGCATTAGCTACGTATTCGTTTAATGAACGATGAACAGAACAGCTGATAACCTTCTTTACAGATGTCAATATTTCTACACAAATCGAGTAGGATTTGGAGAGACTTGGGGTGGGAATGGAAATAAAGTCATCTAAACGAATAGGTGCCTTGACATCCTCAATGTACACTACATGTTGCTGACAGGTTATAGAGCATGGTCCTATTAATTTAAAATCAATATTATATAGCTGGCTATTATTGCTCTAAATTCATCAACTTTAACTAAACATAATTAGTACACAAAACGGGTCGCCGAAACGGATTGGAAAAAGGTGATATTAGCCAACATTTTATTTACTACAGTAATATAAAAATATTAAGTTAACAAATACTTAGATTGTTGAATTGAAGAGACTTGTCCAGCTCTGATTTTTCTACATAGAAAGACATTGGGGAAAGAATCGGAGACTGCAGTAGGGCATCAGGGCTAGGTAGAGATTTCATATTCTTCTTATGCTTATCCAATCTAAACAAAACAGTTAACAGTTGCAATTTTTTATACATAAAAATGTGCATTCTCTTTCATTTTCTTTAAAGATTTAAATTCAAACCCACATTCACACACCTTTTCCATATCTTTTCAGCGTTCTAAAATATAAACAATGAAAAACAAATATACTTTTGTTAGTGCTACTTGGCTATTGTGACAGATTCTTCATACCTACGGAACTTCATCGTGCTATTTTAATTCTAATCATCTTCTCATCAACATTCATGTTAATAAATATGTAAAAATTAAGTAAAGTTTTTCTTATCTTAAATTTTTTAAAAAGATATGCATTATTTTAAAGTTAAATATAATGTTGTTTTAACTACAAGAAGTCTGTGGACCTACAAAGTAAAAATCCGTGAGGGATTCCTTGCCAAGGTAGTGCTCAGATGTCGCTTTTATTTTGGTATTAGCTTGCATGATCGAACCATACCGTCTTTTGTATTCCTGAATACTCTTCATGCAGGACTCATATTCCTAATCAAATGAATAAAAAAAAAGATTTTGAGTAAAGCAAGCTACTAAGCTACTAAAATACTAAAAAATTTGCTTTATCGATTTATATATCTTTATTTTAAAGTTCAAACTTTTCTTCTATATAAAATTTATTGAAATCGAAACAGCTCATTTTCATTGAAATTTAATTTTAAGAATCCAAAATAATTAAATAATACCTTCTCAAAATCCCGATAAATCTCTTGTTCCTGTTCTGTAATAAGGTGACGAAGCGATGCAAATTCTTGTCTCAAAATTTCCTTGTTGAGAATTGCATTAATCTTTTATAGAAAAATAAAATGACAATTTTTAAATTTTGTGTATTTTATGCATGTACAGAAACATATTCTCCTAGTCCAATGCCTCTGAATATGTATACATTACACACACACACACACACAAAACAAATAATGTATTGCTTTAATTTAGCAGTGTTTCAAATAAAAACTAATAATGCAACACCAACCAATTTGTCCCAACTATTCACAAAAAATTATCATCAGACATTATGAAGGATTCTACAAACCGAAAATGTTTCCTCAACTTCCTCTAGTCGATCAGACAGCATTTCAATTGACAGAGACGCTCTGGGGGAAAACAGTTCAGCTGCTTGAATAAACTTGTCCTAGTGAATAAATATAGGTACCATTAGATAAACATCTCCAACTACAGAAGTAATGTTTTAACAAACACTTTTAGAACTTTAAAAGAAAAAGTATCCTTCTATTTGATCAATTCGACATTAAAAGGTTTAGTAAAGAATTCTTTGAAGGCTAAATTTTAATTACATGTATATCTCATTCTTTTTATAAAGGTAAAACTGACCTTTTCCTGTTTTATATGTTCCAGTATTTTGATAAGCCTATCAGCATGTCCAGAGCATTGCTCATTTGTCACAATGCAGTCATCACATCTCATTTCATTGCAAAAATTGCAAAAGAATCGACATATTTGATTGTGCTTAGAACATGCAAAAACCGGGAATGGTACTTGTTTACAAATTGTGTGATCATTAGGATGGTAGCGCACCATACACTGATCACAGAGGTATATCATACAATCTTCACAAATATTGTAATGTTTCAGGGACATCAGACAATACCTACATTGTTCTGATAAAGCACTATCCCTTTTCGAAAACGATTTCAATGTTTGCAGAGAATTCCCGAATGTTGCCTGCATTTCATTGATTATCATCCGCGTTGTGGAGACCCTATTGAAAATCTGTGGGGAAAAGAATACATTCAAGTTTATTCATGGCAAAGAGAATTAAAAAAATACTTTATCATATACAAATTAGAATTTGTAGTTTAATATTAACCTGTCAACCAGTGATTTTCGACTTTTGTACAAAAATTTTTATCACTTACATGCTGATTTGTCGACCTGTATGTTAATCATTAACATGTTGACCTATGAAACTACTGTCCAGTTTACCTGCTAATCACTTTATCAGGTATCCCGATGACCTGTTGACCGATATGCATCTGCAGTCTACCCTTGTCTGTCACATGCCAACTATGAAAAACATATGTTTATTATTATGTATATAATACTGTCGTTATAGAAATCTATTAAATATCTAAATTTTATTCATATACATTGTATTAATAATCCCGCATGAAAGGTCATTAGTATAACATTTAAAGTTCTATGTTGGTTATTCTTTCCTAATAATTTATCAAAAATGTATTCAAGGGATAAATATATTATGTGTTATGTATTTAATATTGATGCGAAATGTTCCATGGGACAATATTCTAACGTAATCTTTACTTTGCCCATATTCTTGTAGTTATATTTATCCTACAGACACTTTGCTAAGCCTTTTCTGATCAAGGTTGCTACAGTTTGTGTAAAAATATTACTTAATTATATTTGATAATGGATGATAATTAATTGTAAATTTCAAAACTACTATACCGTTTATCCGCTGTATATGTATGAGATACATTTTTCAACAATTTATTTACTATTAATTCTATTAATTAAAAAGTTACTTGAAAAAAACATTTCCAACAGCTTAAAAACTTGCTATTTCAATCCAAAATTTCCTTTTAGAACTCAAATCCATCACTCTCAGGCCTATGAGATTTATTTATTTTCTATTCTATCAAGCTATTTTCATATTCTTCTTTTGTGATTAAACCTTCATCATGATCTGTTCATGTCAAAGAACTTTCTGTAGTAGTATTCATGTTCACAGAATGATTAATGTGGCTTTGTTCGTTGTCGTTTTTTTTCAGTAGATGAGTTCAAATTTTCAAAAAAAAGTTCTTCTTCCAAAGGATTTCACTTTTATAGAATATCATTTTATCATTCACTACTAGATATTTGAGATCTAACTTCGATAATTATTGAATAACTCTATTCTATCTTCTGCCGATTTGAAAGAGGCCGTATTAAACTGCAGTGAACCAAACAGTCTAAGGAGTAACAAGCAAATTCAAAGAATTGTGGTCCCCCGCTTTCGGTGTCTTACATGTAGTGGATGGGTTGTCATTATTTATGGCATATTGTAACTTTCTTGTTTGTGTGTCCTGTATTGTAACATGAAGGTCAAAGGGTCAAATATTATAGCATGCTCAGAAACATCTTGTCACATATAATGAACATATCAATTATGAAAGCCCTATCTTTTCTCAATCAGAAATTAAAGGAAAAGATAATTATTTTGAAAAGTAGGTCAAAAAAGGTCAAGCTCACGGGGTCAAAAACCATTATAGTATATTTGGAAAGGTCGTGTCACAGGTAATGTACATATGTCATATTAAAGCTCTATCTTTTCTCATTCAGATTTTATGACAAATTTAAAATAACATTAAGGTTTTTGAAAAGTAGGTCAAACTTTATGGTCAAGGTCAAAGGGTCAAAAACCATAGTATATTTAAAAAGACCTTGTCACAGGTAATGCACAGGTCAAATATGAAAGTCCTATCTCTTCTTAATCAAAAGTTATAAGCAAAGATAACTTTTTGAAAAGTAGGTCAAACTTCAAGGTCAAGATCACAGGGTCAAAAATCATAGCATAGTTAGAAGGGTCACAGGTAATATACATGTCTTTTATGAAAGCCCTACCTTTTCTCTTTCAAAAGTTATGACCAATTAAAAATAATATTAATTTTTTTAAAAGTAGTTCAAACTTAAGGTCAAGGTCATGGGGTCAAAGGTAATAGTACATTTGGTAAGGTCTTGTCACAAGTAATGTACAAGTACCTGTGAAATATCAAAGCTTTATTTCTTCTCATTCAAAAGTTAAGACCAAGGTTAAAGTTTTTGTGACAGATGGACAGACTGACAGACGAATGAGATTTAAATAATGTCCCCTCACTTTCGCGAAAGTGGGGACTATTAAATAATTTTCGGAGCTAGAAATCACCCGACACCTGTAGAAAAAAGTTTAATATCGATTAACCTAATATAAATCCCCAACCCCCACGGAACTCAAGATGGCGATTGTCAACCCTTGTATATTTTATTGTACCTAATTCGATTTTAAGAAAACCGGCTAATTACGATGATTTTTTATTTTTTATTATTAATCAGTGAATTTAGACGGGCATAGATTGTTTTGTTTTGTTTTGTTTGTTTAACGTTTCTCACATATTGAGACGCCACCACTTGTCGGAGGAAGGCTGCAAATTTAGACCTGTACTTGTCACTTGCAGCCTTTGAGCAGAGAGGGATCTTTTTTCGTGCCAGCATGCACCTACTACAACACGGGATCTCGGTTTATACAGTCTCATCCGAAGAACCGCTCTCCACGTCCCCCAGTGGGATTCAAACCCGCGACGTAAGGATCAACTCCTTATTCCGCGACTTTAGAGCAAACGCTCTAATCTCTGCGCCACGCTAGCGACTAGACCATGTAGACATGACATAGTAAAACACAAACATCATCCTGAAACCAAGCTTCTATGTGTTACCAGGTTACTACAGTGACAGTGTAACAAAATAACACACTTCGTTGCAGAACCGTGTATCATGAAAAAAAGCAAAGAAAGGAAAAATGAAAATATTTTCAAAAAAGTTGCTAAATTCAAAACATACCTAGAAAATTCAGTAAATAAAGACTAATTATAAAGTGAACTTGTCAAGCATTCTTCGTAGAAACTTTAATCGGATGTTTACGATAGAGCAATAAATGATAAAAGCCTGTTCAAAGGGCACAAGATTATCCGAATAAAATCCGGGGTATATGTAAACATACACTATCAAAAAAAAAAAAGAATAATGCAGCGTGTAATAAAGCCCCACAATAAACAATTCAATAACTGTTTAATATCCGGGGTATGTGTGTGTGTGGAGGGGGAAGGGGCTTCAATTTGCCATGCAAATATTATATATATACACCATATATATTATATTTATATACCAATACGATATCAAACCGCCGAAAAACTTTGCTGTCATAATAATACAGTCAATAATTAATTATGCACATTCTAAACGATAACAACATTGGAAGAAATAAGAAAAATCACAGCACTGTGTCGGTTTCTCTAAATTTAGAATTGCGTGGCTGATGGGTGTTGCCTAAATGCACTCGAACGTGCATTCGTACCAGTGGAACGCATGATTGCACGAGCGCCGCACGTCCAATCGCATTGGCGCACATTCAATCGTCCGATCACCTGATCACTCGCGCGATCTTATCGCATTATCTTACAACACTCGCTTTCGTTGTATATCAGTCGCATATAGACGCAAGATATATCGCAAGATTCAATGCGTTTGCATCGCACAAATGTCGCTTTAGATCTTGCGAATTTCGTACGAATACTTTTTCATATGCGATTATTTCGGCAACAGTTTACGATCCAAATCAAATTTTTTTGGTCGCACGAATATTTTGTCGCGTCTACTCGTGCGCCAATTGTTTGTTTTTGTTTGTTTGTTGTTTAACGTCCCTCTCGAGAATTTTTCACTCATATGGAGACGCCACCACTTGCCGGTGGAGAGCTGCAAATTTTGTCCTATACTCGGCACTTACGGCCATTGAGCAGTGAGGGGTCTTTTTCGTGCCAACACCTACTGCGACACGGGACCTCGGTTTATACGGTCTCATCCGAAGGACCGGTCTCCACGTCCCACAGTGGGATTCGAACCCGCGACGTAAGGATCAACTCCTTACCTCGCGACTCTAGAGCAGACGCTCTAACCACTGCGCCACGCGGGCGACTGCGCCAATTGTGAAAGGGCCTTTAATAAAAATCTGTGAAGTACAACTCAGCTTAGCACGAGTATGTGGTCGAGAGTTCTGATTTTTCAATAATAAAACAATTTATAAAAGTTCGTAGTACTGCATGCTTGATGTTGAAGTAATCATAACATGTTACAGTTCAATAAAAAGGGGGTTTATGAATACTTACAAGTGCATCATCGACTAATGTGTCAAGGAACAACAATTGTAAGAAGATTTTCCTGAAATTCGAATTAACGTCTGTCGATTTTAGAATAAGTTTTCTTTACAAACTCAAACGATAAATCGATTGCGGTTCGTTTTGGTCTTTTCTAATTCCCTCAAGATTTGGAAATTATTTTGTATCACCTATAAAAATGGAAATCTGAGATCAAACCAAATAAAGAACTACGCTCGCATAACTCCCGATTCGCGCCTACAGTTTATACCAATTTAATTTAATATAAATGGCGATTATATTAAGCAGTGCTATTTTTCGAGAGTTTGTTCTGCTCAAAAGCATACGGGATATCTGTGGTGATGTTGATCTTGCTGGCGTAGGGCAAGATCCTCTTTGTGCCTATTCTCTGATTTTACAAACCTTATTTTGATAATCATTTATTTCCTGCACAGTGTTGGTTATTACTGGATTTTTGAAATAGGATACTGGTTTAGCTTGACATATAGGATTCTTTTCATTTAAACTTTTTGTAGATGACATTCTCAAAGAAACCCCCAAGTATACCTCCTAATCGATTGTATTAGGCCGCTAAAGTTCTTTGTTGACGAGCCAGCGTGAATATTCTGAAATTCTTACATTCATAGAAACTCAACTATAAAATACAATACTTTATGAACCTATGATTTCTGACTAAATGTACGCAGCTTCTTATTTTATTCTTGAACGATACAACTTCTAAAACTAAGAAATACTAGATTATTAATTTTGTTACTTAAAAATGTATTCATACATGTGCTGATACATGATAGATGCAAACTCCAAAGACGTAGAAATCATGAGTATTCACTGTTTATATAAAATTCTTATTTTGCGTAAATAAAATATATGGAGATAACGAACAGTATTCAAGCTCAAAAAACCATTTAAACAATACAAATCAGGAGAAAAGCAAACATGGACCTCTAAAACATAATCGGAGGTGGGATCAGGTGCCATGGAGGAGTGAGCATCCTCTGCCGACCGGTGTCCCTTGTCATGATCGGGAAATAACGGAAAAATCCGGAGACAATCCAGTGTGTAAATAATGGACTAACAATTAGTATGAAAAACGTCTGTCAACATTTTGATTTTATGATAGTGAGGTTGTATTTGCTGACAAGGTCATTGTATCGAAGTGAACATATAAATCACACCATTCGGAGGATATAATATGTACCCCTCATTCACACACACACACACACACACACACCCTCTCACACACCCTCACCCTCACACACACACTTATATATATATATATATATATATATATATATATATATATATATATATATATATATATATATATATATATATATATATATATATATATATATAACTTTAACTATATATATATAACTATACAACTGTACAATTTAAAAAAACATACATATTTGCAATAAAATGTAATACATTTATTTAACTTTCGACTTTATTAAACTGTAATTCTAATTCAGAAATAATGAAAAATGAAGATAACGAACATTAATCAAGCTCAGAAGACATAACGTGATAAATTTTCCAGGAAGAAGGCGGACATTTCGTGACGGCGAACAAAACGTGACTCAACACAGAGCAAACAAGGACCTCTAAGGAGCCCCTTGTCATGATCAGGCGGACGGAAAAATCCGTAGACAATTCAGTGTGTAAATAATGGCCTAACAATTACTATGAAAACATCAGTCAGCATAATGATAGATTGCATTTGCTGACAAGGTCATTGTATCGACCATTAAATTTGTAAAATTATGACTTTAAACGAGACTGTTGATATTATAATTGTATCATTTACTTATTTGTCGATAGCTTGCCCCATTTTAGAAATTGTTCGTACGTAAAATACTCTGTCCTGTTACATGTGGGAATGAAAATTAATACTGTTAATTGATAAAATGTCGTCGATATATTTAAAGTTCGAATTGGAGGCAACAGCGAAAGACTTCTTCTTTTCGTGTAGAAGTGCTTTGAATAAATTTTGCTTCATATGAATACAAAAGTATGTCTTCTAATATCGGGAGGGGGGAGGGGCAATAAGTACCCACTGGAATTTGAACAGATTGCTAGAAGACTTGATCTCCAAAACCTACAATGAAATTGTCACACTCAAAAATGGTAAACCTATGAACACTTATTAAGTCAAATTTAATGTTCTTTATATCAGATCGATATAATTTGAAGACGTTAAAATAATCTTTGGTGATCTGAAATGGCTTTATATTGTGAAATTCTCAAACTTTGATGCAATTTTTAAAAAATAATATATATATATATATCTATATCTATCTATCTATCTATCTATCTATCTATCTATCTATATATATATATATATATATATATATATATATATATATATATATATATATATATATATATATATATATATATATAGTGAAGTTCAGAATAAACAAAGTACAATATGGATATTACTGTATTTATTTTTGAAAAAATAAAATTAAAATCTTGAGTAAAAATAAGTAAAAGTTGAATATCTAATATCATACATGTTGAGCAAATATAAAACGTGCGAAAAGTTCCTATCACATAGTGTACATTAATTAGATACTAATTTTTATTTGTATCCATGGAATGTTAATTGACCAGCAATTTATAACCTGCATTTTAAGAAACAAAGATATCTTTAAAATTTACATTGAGATAGAATCCCTTAAAAGTTATATATTAATGCATTCATAAAATCTGACATCATGTTCAGAAACCGTCGAAATATGGCTGAAATATTGCCGATTCGGCGTAAAACAACAATAATCAATCATGTTCAGAAAAAAATATACATGTAGTAAAAGTGTCATTCCTTTCAATGAAATATAGAGATAACCAATAGTCAGAAGTTAAATTAAATGCAACTAAAAATGACTTATATATATATATATATGCAATTGACTAGCAAGTATTACATTTGAATTCTTTTTAAAGATCAATACAATGTATCCCAGTTCCTCCATGATCTGAGGAGAAAAGGTTTCCCATTAATCTTAATCATTAGAATAATAATTCACAATTTACAAAATTTGATTATCCCGCTGGTTATATAATCCTGTAACCTAAGCTCCTCTGGACTGTAGTTCTCATACTCTGTCATGGCGGAAATAGATTGAAACCGTGTTTCGGCGTCTGTGGGAGGTCTAAACCTTCTTGTTATATGTCCATTCCAACCCAGTCCTGATTAATTAAAAAAATATACAATATACAAATTCTTTTTTTTTAATGATTATATCTTTATACAATGAAATATATGGAGATAACGAACAGTATTCAAGCTCAAAAGTCCATTTAACATTACAAAATAGGTGCAGAGCAAACATGGACCTCCAAAACATCAGAGGTGGGATCAGGTGCCATGGAGGAGTGAGCATCCCCTGCCGATCGGTCACACCCGCCGTGTGCTCCTTGTCATGATCGGGAAATAACGGAAAAATCCGTCGACAATTCAGTGTGTAAATAATAGCCTAAGAATTAGTATGAAAAACGTCAGTCAGCATTTGACTCAATGATAAATTGTATTTGCTGACAAGGTCATTGTATCGACTATAGAACTTACGAAATGATGACTTTAAACGAGACTGCTGATATTCTTGTTTCATCAACTTGTTTGTCAATAATTTACCCCGTTTTAGAAAATGTATATACGTAGAGCATGCTCTTGCGTATCGAATTAACTGAGAGATGTAAACCCCGTATGCAGGCGATGAAGGTATATTGCTGCATAAGTAAGGGAAGTTGACGATTGAAAAGTTAAAGTCATCACGTTCATCAAAAAGCTTGGTTGTTAGATTACCATTAACGTCTTTTTCAAGTAATATATCCAAATATGAAACAGATGTGTCAGACTCTGTAGTATCTTTTATCTCAAACTCACCGGGATATATCGTATCGACATAAGAAAGGAAATAACAATTGTTAATTGACTATACGTGGTCGATATATCTAAATGTCGAGTTGAAGACCACAGCAAGTGTTTTCTTCTTATCACGCAGAAGATTTTGGACAAATTCTGCTTCATATGAATACAAAAATAGGTCTGCTAATAACGGGGCGCAATTGGTACCCATGGGAATTCCAATAGATTGTTGGAAGACCTGGTCTCCAAAAACCACATAGATATTGTCAATCAGAAACTCAAGCATCTTTTTAATGTCAACTTCAGAGTACTTGCGTGTACAATCAGAATGCTTTTTAACAAAATAATTTTGCAAATGACCAATGACAAGGTAAGTAAATCTACGAGTTCCATTATTATTGAAAAAGCAGCTGTCAATGATATCAAAAAGCCTGGATTTTGATTTATCGTGGGGAATGGTTGTGTATAAAGTTAAAAAGTCGTAAGTTTTTAAGCTGTTGATTTTGGTAAAATCTTGTGATTTCAAATTTTCCAAAAGTTCCTTGGAATTTTTAAGTATCAACATCTGAATTACACCACTTCTCGAATATATTGTTGCACAGTACTCTTGAAGTTTCTGCTTCACTACTGTTAATATCTTAGTGAGGAGTAAAAAAAGAGACTTGATTGAACATTTACTGGAACCCGCTATGTATCTTTGTTTGTAAGGATTTTTATGAAGTTTCGGAATCCAATAGAGATATGGTGATTCATATTCATTTTGGTTGTTTGGAATATTAAAAATATTCAAAGAAAGTATTTTTCAAAATAAAGAATAAAAAACAGAAATCCTGTTTTTTCCCCCGTTTTTAGTTCTGTAATATAAAATACCTTTATTACTTTATTTCAAACTATTTTCAAAAGTAGATAATCGTAAAGCTTATTAAGGTAGGATGTCACTCCTGACATTGCTTATATCATTGATATTTTTAGAAGTACATTTTAGTTATTTACTCATATAGAGTAATCCAAAATTGCTAAGAAAAAGGGGGTCCGTGTGAATCTTACTGAGCAATCGTACAATTGACTTTACCTTTTTTCAATAACTTTATCCTCTATTATATTTTATCAGATGCAATCATGGCAAAAAATATAATCCTGTTTTATGCAGGAGAGTTTAAATAACATTCATTATTATCTTTTAAAAAAATACTGGGAATTAACCGATGTGAATTACTGTGTGACCTGTTTTCAGTTAAAAAAAATATACATATTTGGGGTATTTATAATTTAATCAGACAATAAAATATTTCTTATATCAAGCTTTTTTGGGTGATGACCAGTTGAAAACATCGAGCATTTTCAAAAAAAAAAAGAAAAAAGAAAATGAAATAAAAAGTTGGCCCAGGTTGTGTGATTTTTGAAATATGGGTCAAGATTTTCAATTTTCATTAAAAAAAGCCCCTAAATTTTATCGTGGTTTATTCAATACATCTTCAATTTTTGGCAACGAATTTGAAAAAAAAAATGAGTAAATTTTGTGCAAAAAATATCACTTGAAACCTACATGTACATTAAATATTCCTAACATATAACAACGTAAAAATTTCTTTAAGTAAAAATATATATAGGACCAAAATTCCAAGACGTTAAATAAAACAAATGTGCAGATTTTGAGAATTTTTCCGAAATATACTCATCACAAGAAATAGTCCCTTGCGAATCTTTTCTTATCGAGTTTGTAAGCAGTTTTTTAAATTGAATATTGTTTAATTTTAATTGCTTAATTCAAAGTTCAACTGTAATTGATAATTTTGATATACAATGTAAGAGGCTCTGACCAAACTTTTTTCAAAAGCTGACAAGTGACATAACTTAAAGATTGACTAAAATAAAGGTACGTACTTTTAATTAAGTAATCCTCTGCTCGCAATTCTTCTAAACTTTTGTTTTCATAATAAGGCATTGCTGTTATGCATTGGTGTTTGGTGTAGATATAGCCTTCTCGTTGTTCAAAACATTTGCCTTTTCTCGCAACAAATGCTTGTCTTGTTCCAATAGATTTTTGACTAGTTTTAAATTCTTTAAAATAGAAAAAAATAAAATTAAATCCTTCCCTTGATAACCTAAAATATTTTGAACATTTTAAAGAAAAAAATTGTATTCTTACCTGAAAATTGTAATTGAGTACCAAAGAGCGAGAAGTTTGATCCAGTGTCGAGAAAAATTGGTTTTATATTTTCACCTACATGTACAAAGATAATTTTATATAGGCCTACAGCATGTCTGACATTTTCTCTACACAGTATCGTCTAAATAGAATAAATTGCAGTATATCTATACAACCGTAAATTGAAGAATTTTGATTATTTAATTCAACCAATTACGTACTCTTCTGGTATCAGTTTGACTATACTAGTAACCACTATATACATGTATTGTAACATACCTCTGGGCAAGCAACAAAACCCCAATATTTCCTGTGAAATAAAACATTTCTCTATTATATTGCGGAAATGTAAATAAATCTCTGACTTATCGTAAAATGTTGTTCATATATAATAATGAAACCTCATGTTGTTTGCTGTCCTTCAATTTCAGCTTTCCCTCTACTCTGCTGATCAACTTTTTAACGGTATCTCCACACTTGGTGGTGTAAATCTTCGGTTGCTTCTCCTTCTGTACAGGTGCTTTACCTAAATAAACAGAAGGTGCTTTACCTAAATAAGACGAATTAATATGTCAGAGAGAGAGAGAGAGAGAGAGAGAGTAAACCTAAGAAGGGGCATTTTATAGAAAATGTACTGCAGCTGTTAAACTTCCATAGAAATTGAAATTACAAATTTCAATAAAGTGCAAAACATTTTTTTAAGAAGTCAAGTGAATATGAGATCCTCCTGCCCATTTCCCTATTTCGTATTTATTTATTTTGGAAATAAGTAAATATTCTGTATACCTGTGATCACTAGGACGTGACAAGGACTGCTTACGCTCTTCGTAATTCTCTTGTCAGACATTCGGAATGAAGTTTCTACATGAAATCTGAAAATATATCTGTGTAATGGTTCCAAGGCTGTCAGGTTTCCTGCATTAGCTACGTATTCGTCTAACGAACGATGAACAGAACGGCTGATAACCTTCTTTACAGATGTCAATATTTCTAAACAGATCGAGTAAGACTTGGAGAGACTTGGGGTGGGAATGGAAATAAAGTCTTCTACCCGAATAGGTGCCTTGACATCCTCAATGTACATTACATGTCGCTGACAGGTTATAGAGCATGGTCCTTTAAATATTAACCAATAACAAAATAACCAATATCATTTAGGTTGCAATCAGTGGTTTGATCTTCTTCAGTGCTACATTCTCTTTAATTTTATCTTTATTCATAATACAAATTTAGTACATGCAATGGTTTAAACAGGTTCAAACAGATTGGAAAAAGATAACATTTGTCTTTATTTTATTTACTTTGAGAGCTTATATTTAGTAGTATGAAAATAATGCGTCACCAATTACCAATATTCTTGAATTGTAGAGATTTATCCAGCTCTGATTTTTCTACATAAAAAGACATTGGAGAAAGAATCGGAGAATGCAGTAGGGCATCAGGGCTAGGTAGAGATTCCAATTTCTTCTTATGCTTATCCAACCTACATTTAGCACATTATCATAAAACATTTAATTTGTACTCTAGTAATTGCTCTAAAAAAATTAATAGAAATGTTTGTTTGTTTGTTTGTATGTTGTTTAACGTCCCTCTCGAGAATTTTTCATTCATATGGAGACGCCACCACTTGCCGGTGGAGAGCTGCAAATTTTGTCCTATACTCGGCACTTACGGCCATTGAGCAGTGAGGGATCTTTTTCGTGCCAGCACCTACTGCGACACGGGACCTCGGTTTATACGGTCTCATCCGAAGGACCGGTCTCCACGTCCCACAGTGGGATTCGAACCCGCGACGTAAGGATCAACTCCTTACACCGCACTCTAGAGCAAACGCTCTAACCACTGCGCCACGCGGGCGACTAATAGAAATGTAAAATCTTTTTCATTTCATGATGAGAAGAAACACACACACCTTTCCCAGATCTTTTCATTGCTCTAAAACAGAAACAATTAAAAACGGATGTAATATACTTTTATATAACTAGTGTCATAGAAACATGCTAATTAAACATCTCCGTACTATTCGATTTACACGCAATAACTTAATAATCATCGTGTACAATTCCAAATTCATGTAAATGAATTTATAAAAAATAAGCAAACATTTTGTACTTTTTAAAAGATACCTATATATGGTTGTTTTTTTTAAGTAAAAGAAGTATGTGGACCTACAAAGTAAAATTCCATTAAGGATTCCTTGCCAAGATACTGCAAAGATGTCGATATTAGTTCGCTATCAGCTTTCATGATCGAACCATACCGCCTTTTGTATTGCTGGATCCTCTCCATACAGGACGCATATTCCTTAGAAATCGAGTTCAAAAGTAAGCGAGCTTCATGCAAACTTAAGATTTGGAACAGAGAATGTTAAACATTCAACATTTTCTATCCATCTAAAATTTATTCAAATTGAAACCGTTTATATTTTATGAAATATAAAACTTAAAAACAAAAATAGTGTAGTACCTTCTCAAAATTCCGATAAATCCTGTGTTCTCGTTCTGTAATAAGTTGATGAAGCGATGCGAATTCTTGTTTCAAAATTTCCTTGTTCAAAATTCCATTCATCTTTTATTTAAAAAAGAGCGTTAATTTTTTTTTGAATTTTCATACATTTACTGTGGTTCAAGCTTTAATTGAAAGTACTAGAAATAATAAACCAACCAACTGGTCCCAATTGTTCAAACATTTTCTCATTAGAAAATGTAAAGGATTCTACAAACCGAAAATGTTTCCTCGATTTCTTCTAGTCGATCTGACAGCATATTAATGGACTGAGACCCTCTGGAAGAAAACTGTTGTATTGCTTCATCAAATTTGTCCTAGGTGAATAAATTAAATAAAAATTCCTGGATTAAAATGAACTCTTGTAATTTAGAAACATGTTAAACAAATCTTTTTTCGTCAATTCATTAATGCATAATGATTATAAAACGTGTACAGTCGTTGGAATCTTTTGAGAATTTTGAGCATGTCAAAGTTCCCAATTTCATTTCTTTCATCTTTGAAGTTAAAACTCACCTTTTTGTGCTTAATATAGTCCAGTATTTTGACAAGCCTATCAGCATGTCCAGAGCATTGCTCATTTGTCACAATGCAGTCATCACATCTCAAATTATTGCAAGAATGGCAAAAGTAACGACAAATTTGTTTGTGTTTAGAACAAGCAAAAACATGGAATGGTACTTGTTTACAAATTGGGTGGTCATTAGGATGGTGGCGCTCCATACACGCCTCACAGAGGTATATCATACAATCTTCGCAAATGTTGTAACGTTTTTGTGACATCTGACAATACCTACAAAAGTGTTCCGATAAAGTACTTCCCCTTATCGAAGACGATTTCAAACACCGAGTAGAACTCTCTTCTTTAATTATCTTCACTCCTGCAGGGACCTTGTCGGTACTCTAGACAAAAAGTAAAAAAAAAATCATTACTTATACCTAATCTGTTACATTTTGAATAAAAAAATACCCATGTACTAAAAAGCTTAATTTTACTAGGGGCCTACAGATACTTTGTTAAGCTTCGCATAACTGCAAAAGATGAAACTCTGCCATTCCGTCAACTGAATATTCACTGAAAGATCTGGAAAGGTGGCTGAACGGCAGAGCTCTATCATTCAGTCACATTTCAGTAAACTGTCACTTTTCGCTTAACTGAATGGCACAGATTCATCCTGTGCTGATGTATGGAAATGTTTGGGCTAAAATATACCCTGATTTATTAAAATCATGCCTTGAAGTCTCTGCTCAAATTTTGCTGCAATTTTGTCAAAAAAAATTGTACTTTTATAAAATTGTCTTGTTATATAATGAGTTATGAACTTCGAAAAGAAAGCACCTTTAATTGATTGCTGTTTGTACAATAAATCTCAAATCATCAGATCAATACAAGTACGGTAGACAAAAAAGTGAGTTTATAGATCTTCCCAACTCGACTTATATCACAGTCAATGTGAAATATTTTTTTTAAAGTTATTTATACATAGCTACATGTACAATCATAAACTACTTTTAACCCACCAACCAACCCAAAAACATTTCAAGTGCTCATTACATAAGATATCAATGTGCACCATTCATACATTTACTTCATCTTTACCATCTTTTTAAAATTAAAAAAAAAGGCAAACAATTAAAACTTGGGATCGCTTATTCCATTGCAATTATACATGTATCTTAACTCTCTAATGTTATATACTTGGACATATACAACATTTAGGCAAAATCATACGCATAAAATATTTTCTAACATTAAGTCTTTTAGACTAAGAATGTTTTGTATTTTGACCAAACAATACTAACTTCGATTTGATCTGGGTTTCCAAAGATAGCTTTTAATTCATGGTTATGACATCTCCCCAAATTAATACAATCGTCACATCGGCGACTGTTGCAGACAAGACAAAAATATTTAAGGATCTGTATGTGATCGAGGCATCCAAATTCAGAAAATGCTTTGGATCTGATTGTTGTGTGTTCTGGTGTGTGTGGGTAAAACGCTGTACACGAATCACAGAGGAACATCATACAATCTCTACAAACGTTCCAATAGAAGCACCAACTGTTACAACGATTGCACGCCATTTTGGCCTTTTCTCTTTCTCTTCCGGGGAATAGTTTTCGTATCTCCTCTGAAGGGGGCAATTTGAAATCAAGTGACTTAGTTTTGAAATTCTGTGCATTTAAAAAAGTGTCAAACTTTTCAGATTTATTATTTTCTTTCATGGTGCGAGAGGTTCCTGTAAATTTGAATATCCCAGACCTCACCCCCTCCTCTTGTTGATTATTACATGTAGCATTGTTCTGGGTAGTAATAAGTTTTATACTCTCATTGTCTTTAGTTACTTTCATAGAAGCACGGGTACTATTTTCTGAAAGTTTGTTTTTCTCGAAAGTCTTTATCTGCTGTGAAGTTGATTCTACTGACTCAGGACATCTGATAATTCTTAATTCATCCGCCAAAGGGTCTTCTCTTTTCCAATTCTCCGATTTTTTGTCAGAATAATTATTTTCATGACAAACCTTGTTCTGTATATCATTGGTTAATGCTGCGTTTTCGGAAAACGATAAAGGTGTAGACACTGGGGACGAAATGTTATTGCTTGAACTAATTGTTTCATGTATTGATGCCACTTTTCTTTCCCCTAACTGTTTTACCAAACTCTTTTCAATTTCTTCTTTTGCTTTTAAATATGTATTTTCCACATTCTTTGTTTCGTGTTCGTACGGTTTAATTTTTCTTTCTGTAGATGATATTCTCATAGAAAACCCATTGGGTACCTCCCCATGGTCTTCATCAAAGTGACCGGCAGTTTTACTCGTATCATCTTTTATTTTGTTCTCTTTCTCTGTGGAACCACCGTCCATCTCTTGGGACGTTAAGATGCTGTATTAATTATGCCTGTGTAAAAATTAACCAATTCAAAAATTATTATCCTATAAATTTAGACTGAAATTCCCTATGCTTTTTTTTTTTTGATTATATTTGAAATAACCATTAGGTAAAGATGTATATGGATGGTGTACATTCCCATCCCCTTCTGAGAATTTTCGAAGACACGATAATTTTTCTGAAATAAATTTCTATAACGTATTAAAAAATGGAAAATGAAATATAAGATATCAGAATGTAGGTATGATAGGTAGAAATTCGTGTGATGTTGATTATTGTCTTTTAAACTTAAAAAAAAAAAATTCTCAGAAAAGGTGATTTCACCATCCAAGCGTCTCGTGCCCATGGAAATAATTTCACAAGATATGAAAATATTTATAGCAATATTAATTCTTATAGATATATACGTACATTTGGTTTATATGTACAGTCAGGAAACATGGAAATCACGTATAAGGCGATTCTCCATTAGCTGAAAGTGTATAATATGTATGGTGCCGTCCTATTCTCTATTGAGAAGTTGATGGCTCGTTTTGAGGGGGAGTATAACCGAGCCAGCAACTTCTCAATAGAGAATAGGCGCCGTCCATGCAGGGAATATACATTTCATATTATTATTCTTTCTACATCTATATACTTACTTACTTCTAAACGTAGTAGGATACATGTTCAATTATCCTACTTTCGTTTTCTTTTCAACGAATATAAATAGCGGAAACTGTCATACTACGTACTTGTCAAAATTTCCTATTTGTATATTATAGCTTCGGTTTTCATAAAGTCGTTTTAGTCCCCTACCGGTGAAACCGGAGGGGACTATAGATTTCCACTGAGTCTGTCCGTCCGTCCCTCTGTCTGTCTGTTCCATTTATTTTTCCGCATTTTTCTTCTAAATGCTTGCAGAGAGGTGATTTTTGGTATTTGAGTGTATCTTGATGTGTTACAGACCAAGTTTACATTTCGTTCCGCTTCACTGATTTTTGACGGCCTTTTTAATTTTTAAGGATTTTCCACATGTTTTCCAAGAAACGCTTGGAGATGTTGAGCTGATTTTTGGTATGTGAGTTTACCTTGATGAGTTATAGATGAAGTTTGCATTTTGTTCCGCTTCAATGATTTTTGACGGAATTATGGCATTTTCAAGTGTTAATGGGAACTGGATTACACTTGCCGGGACTTACTATTGCTAATGCAATACCCTCAGAATGCTTGTTTAGTTTCATTTCTCGATAAATAAAATAATTCACATAGTCAGTCCTGTAATATATGTTTGCAACAGGATCGAACCATTTTATACATACTGTATATATTGGAATGCCACGACGGATATAAAGTCCGCTTTCTCTTTCTGTCAAAATCGTTTCTTTTTTGATAGAAATAAATGTTTAAATAATATGATTTCATTAAACAATAGATTGACGCAAAATATTGAATTATAAAAAAATATGTCTGAAAAACTTCTATCATAATGAAATGTAACTAAAACAAATGTCATCTGCTGTGTTAGATGACAAAGGGGGGGGGGGGGTGTCGAGAGTACAAATTATACTTGACACAATTTCCCAGAGAAGAGTGTTTCTTTATAGGCTGAAGGAACGACAATACAGAAGAATAAGCTGTTTTCATAAATACAAGAACCGCAAAGAACTATTTCGGAAACTAAGTTGAAGGAAGGGAGCTCGTTATATAGAGGGGATGGCTATATAGTGATTCCTTCCTCCCCCTCCCCCATGGAAAATGGTTATAAAGTGAGACTTCTCTGGGAGAAGGGTCACTATGTAGCCGAACTTCTGGGGAAGGTTCACTTTATAGCCCTCTTCTGGAAAGAAGACTCACTGACTATATAGTAAGTCTCTCACTTGTATATATAGGGAAGTGCCGTTTTTTAAAACAAATTTTGTAAGAAAGATTTTTTAAGGAAGTGTCAAAGGTAAGGAAGTGTCAAAGGTCAACTGTTTCATGGCTCTTCCATGTAACATACGAATCAATAATTGATACAATAGTTTATGTACTTTCGCCCACTTTATATGAATAATTTATAATAATCAGATATATAGGATCTATCATGATTTGTAGTTGGATATGATTTTTATCCAACGAGTTGTGTGTTTTTTATCCCCGAGCCTTGGCGAGGGGATAAAAACATACAACGAGTTGGATAAAAGTCATATCCAACTACAAATCATAGGAGATTCCTCTTATCACATGTTTAATACTTCACAACGAATGTTTTACATTGTTTTATGCAGGACTCCACTTCATTTTACATCATCACTCTAACGCAAAAACCATTGTGACGTCACAACTGCACTTAACTGTGGAATATGAAAAAATTATCCAATGAGTCATATCCACGGGATAAAGGGGTAAACATGGGATAAATAAATTTAAACAATACAACCAGGCAACCCCCAAGATAAGAACACATCCGTGATTCCGTGACCTGTCCGTGTTTTGCAAATGGCGCTTTAATAGAATGAAGCACGGACGAATTTATCATCCTTGCATAAACATTCCATGATTTGAACTATTTTTTTCTATTTGCGTACATCACTGATTTCGTGACCTGTCCGCCGTGTTTACTAAATGGTGCTTCATTTCTTTGAACATTTGCAATCATTGCAGAAAAAACTACAAGTGTCCCTATTTCGCTTACGCGGATGGTGCATTTTTTCTGCAACGTTGCAACCATTCTTTCCCTTATTTCAAAGCGAGACAGTAGACCTACCTGTAGTCACAGATGCTTGGGGACGGGAATTTGAAACCCCCAACCCTCGCTTTCCGTACCCCAGAGGTGGGGATCCCCGTCCCCAAGCAAATGTGATCGAAATTGGACTCATGTAATCCAGTCTTGGATATACATGTATATTTACAACCACTGAAAATTTTCTCCTTTATTTTCCTATTTTTTAAGCTATATATGGCATATTTTTGATAAGTTCAGATAACCAAAATTAAAAAGATATTACTTTATATAAGGTAGGACTTTTCTCAATCGCGAATCAAATTTCCATTTGTGTTGTATAATTTTCCAACTGTATTGTAAAATTTTCTATTTGTATTCTATAATTTTTCATTTGCAATGTAAAATTTTTATATTTTTTCCATTTGTATTGTAATTTTTTTAATTGTATTCTATAAATCTCCATTTGTATTGTATAATATTTTATTTGTATTGTATGATTTTTTACTTGTATGATTTTTATTTGAATTCTATAATCATCCATTTGTATTGTATAATTTTCCATTTGTATTGTATAAATTCTCATTTGTATTGTATAATTTTTCTTTTATATCGTATACTTTTCCATTTGTATTGTTAAATTATACAATCCCAATGGAAAATGACACAATACAAATGGAAAATTATACAATACAAATGGAAAATTATACAATACAAATGAAAAATTATACAATACAAATGAAAAATTATACAATATACAAATGAAAAATTATAGAATATAAATCATCAGTGGAAAATTATAGAATACAAATAAACATTATACAATACAAATGGAAAATTAAACAATGCAAATGGTAAATATAGAATATAAATGGAAAATCATACAATACAAATGGAAAAGATCGAATATTGCAACGTTCAAGCACTAACCGATTTATTTACCAACTCCACAAAAACAATAGAGACGCGTGGCACTATATATATGTAGACAATCAATCGATAACCCTAAACTGTCCCACATGGACATTAAGTAGGCCAAGAATCAACTTTCCGTCACAGTAATTAGTCTATCCCATAGGTGCTTGGGGACGGGAATCCCCCAGCGGTCCGTACCCCAAGGATTCTTCAACTTTTTAAAATAAAATATATTCACAAATCATTACAATTGAAAAATCCAAAATATAAACTAAATCTAACCTTTTGTAAAAGAATTACACTCTCTAATACTAAAAGTTCTCTGGGGTGGGGATGGGGGGTTGGGCGGAGGCTCCTGTCCCCAAGCACCTGTTGTCCAACCTAGCAAAATCTTACAAGATACGAATACTATAGGAACGACTTGTCAATTTCTTTTATACGATACATAAGCGACTATTTCCAAAAATAGAATACTTTGCATTGATCTATTTTTGTCGTTGTTGGTGTGATTTTAAGATACTATTACAAATGCATCCTTTAAGTTTATCTCTGCAGTCAAAGCCGTCATGAAGAGAATTACTGTATTTCAAAATGGCATACCAGCAGACGGGAGGGTAGGGAGGCCGAAAACTTGACCACTGCCACCTAGTCAGCTAGTTGCAGTGGCAAATACTTTAGAATTTCTGGAGAGATTGTATTGAGATTTGAGGTTATGTATTCTGAAAACAATTTATAAAAATATGTTTTGACAGTATTTGAATGTAATCATAAATGTGTTTTTTATCACAGTTGCTGCTTGTGCCACCGACTCAAACACTTAAAGAACTTTTAGAAGAATGTGGCCAAAAATTTGATTGTGATGGCAAAATTTTGTACACAGCCAAAGGGGCAGTGCTAGATGACATCGCTTTTGTCAGGTACTTGTTTGTGTGTTTGTGTGTTTTATTTTAATGATTTAAATGAAGAACAAATGGTTCAAAAGTTTAGGTTTCACTTTCATATATGTTCTTGGAAATTCTTTACAACATGTCAGATAATGAAATCATTTTAAATGCCAGAAAATAATAATACTTGTAGAATTAAATACATACATTCTAGCATTCACAGTCCCTAGATAATAATAACTGCTCTGGTTTTAGAAATTTGCTTTTTAAAGAAGAAATTGATCTTTTCTCAACAGGGATGATGATGTTTATTATCTCTCAGATGGAAAACCTTTCATAAGTAAGTGTTTGCTCTTGCATTCATCTTTTTCTACGAGGTTACTTGACTCATAATCTTACATAAAATATAACCTGTGAACAAGACATTTATAGCAAAAATGAATAATCTTAAACTAATGTTGAATTCCATTTCATCTACAGGTCCGTCCAAGTCAGGAGTTGTGTTTCGTCCACGATCATTTTCCTCTATTAGCCCTAGAAATGATTGCAAGCGACACTCTCGTCTCCCTAATGAAGGGACTACAAATAAGTGTACTTGTAGTAGCTCAGAATGGGTGACTCTCAATGTTGGTGGCAGAATGTTTACCACAACCAGGTAATTAAAAAAATCATAGAATAAAAAAATATATTATGTTTATATCTTTATTATTAGTAGCAAAGCTACAGAGCAGACCTGCACTGAAATAATATTGAGACAAAGGGTTACACAGTCTATACTTTTCCAGTTAAAATGTTGTTGATCTATGCAATGAATGATAATTTAATATTGAAATTAAAGATTTTGTTAAAATTGAGAAAAGAAGATGTCTATATAAAATGTCGATATTTTTGAGGCAGCTCTAGGTAATATTTTTGAACATGTAGCATCTCTGTTGTCAGGTTCATGACCTAAATGGATTCAGATTATCTTCAAGCAATTTCAAATTATCCATGCTTACCCATGTAAAAATAGTGCAGTTCACTAATTTTAGCTTTCAGTATCCTTTTTCACTAGTACATGTATTTCCAGTAACACATTTATGCTTTTCCATAACAGGAGTACCCTTACACAACAAGAACCAGAAAGTATGCTTGCCAGAATGTTTTGTGATGAAGATCGTAAGTCAATTTTAATTGTTCCTTAAACTTTTTTAATTATTTAAACACAAGAGAAATAACTTTTTCCCCATATTTTGAAACATTCTGCAAGATCCAAAGATTTGTTTTTTGTATCTATGAATTCAGATTAAGGTTAAAGAATTGTTGAAGACTGTAAATGCTCAGATCTGCTTATTTAAAACCATGCATACGGTGTATTTCTGAATTTTGTGATAGCCTTTGGTACGTAGTATAAATTCATTTTCCATATAGCAGTTGTTGCTTCTTTTATAGAGAAGTTGAACATAAATTATTTTAAAGTATTCTCAACATTGAAAATCTCTCTTGTATTTTTGGACATGATCAGAGTGGTACAGCAGCGTAGATGTTACTGGAGCTTATTTGATTGACAGAAGTCCCCGATATTTTGAACCAATCCTCAACTACCTCCGACATGGTCAACTTATCCTTGATAAAGACATTAATCCAGAAGGTATCATTAATGGAAAATTGGATGAAGTTATCAACTTTGTAATATTTTTTGGAATGAGTCTTGCATTTATTTGTATTCACTGCCAAAATATGGATTCATTAAAACATGCTGAATTTAAAAGTAGACAATGAGACATAAATTCTTGATTGTGTTAATAAGTCCAAGTGCTACAAAAATACTAAATTTTGAATACTCTGAGATAAATTTAAGATAGGCAACCATGTACAGTATATTGTTTTAGAGCATGTTATGTATTGATCTGAAGGATTAACCTGGCAATCATGTGTGTTACGTTATGATTGTTATGATGTTTTTCTATGAACAGAGCACCATATTAGTATTTGCATAGTTTCTAGCAGTTCACAAATAAAAATTGTTACATGGTTTTGCATGGATGGGATTAAATTGCTATAGTGGGAGGGTGGACTGTTCAACTAAGATCTAAAAATAAAGTACAAAAATTGTACCACTGAACCTTTTTGTTTCTGTTGGTAGTGAAATAGGTCATTCTTTAATGAGTGCGTTACCAATTAATGACAAAAATCTGTGAAAAAAAACATATATCAGAAAGTCATTGCATACTAGAGATATTGGACATAACTTAGTTTATTAAACATTTATTGAAATCATATTCTTCAAAAAGGTGTCCTAGAAGAAGCAAAGTTTTTTGGTCTGACTTCTTTGATGGAAAATCTGGAAGATGTCATTGAGGTAGAGTTTAAATAAAAATGTAAAGATCCATTAAGTTCAATGTATTTATGTTTCTACTTTAAGAAGGATAATATTTATTTGTAAGGATCTATACTGTGAATATCAATTAAGAGATAAAGATTTCTTTGGTCACATATTAGAATTATTAACAAATTAGTGACACATGATATCCCCTTAGACTTGCTTCATATCTATTTATATTTTATATCAGAAAAACCAAGTACCAGATGATAGCACACCGATCACAAGGAGAGAATTTGTTCTGCGACTGTTATCCACCCCCACCAATAAGGAACTTCGATGTCAGGTAAATTCTCAATTCAATGTCATTACACAATTCCTTATTTCAAGTACAGGTCTGTATACTATTATTAGATGGCACCTGATCCAACGTCTGATGTTTTTGAAGGTTCGTGTTTGCTTTGCTCCTGATTTGTATTGTTTTAATGGACTTTGAGCTTGAATACTGTTCGTTATCTTCATATTTCATTTTTTAGTGACTGTCTATGGAAATAAATCAGGTTTATCAATTTCGTAGTTGGGAAGGTGAACAGAAGCTAAGCAGTCTATGAGATTTATCAAACCAATATATTTCGTACTAGGCAGTAACTGACAAATTTGATAGTGATTTCTTTTTACTGGGAACTGTTTGAGATAATATGTCATGTTTAAACCAATAAATATTCGATGTAACATTTTAATCTGAGGGAAAATACATGTAAATGTATATTACTTGACAGTCATTTGCATATATCATTGAAGTTAGCTTTTGTACCAGTTTTGACTTTGTTTTGGTTTTGGGGCTGAAAGTATCGGTTTTATTTATGGGGTAATGTTCTTTTGATTTTTGAAATCAAGATGTAATATCTAACTTTAAAATAGTAAATCAAATTTAGCTATAAAATTGAAAACAAAAATTATAATTTTTTTTCTAAATTCAGGGTATGAATTTTACAAATGCAAATCTTTCCAAACTGGACTTGAGATATATCAACTTCAAGTACGCTGTTCTCAAGAATGCCAATCTGAGTGGAGCAAATTTATCCTACTGTAATTTTGAGAGGGCGGATTTGTGTCATGCTGTTCTTGATGTAAGTCCTTTTTTGAAAACTACTCTTAAGTTTCTGTGTGTGATCAATATTAGATTCATGAGCTAGCTAATTCGTTGTGCCAAAATATTGCACCTATGGTTGGATACTGTTAAGGATGAAAGAGTATGATACACTGTACATGTACCATATTGTACTGTTACTACTGTATTTTTGAAATGATACAGCATTTTTAATGATACCTGAATCTATCAATATACTGCACAATGGTTTGGTATTTGATAGAATAAATGTGGTTTTAGTACATGTACATCTCTTTTAATAACTTTATAATCAAGAAGCTAATTTAGAAAATTAAAGGTAAAATAAATGTAATCTACAATTATAATGCATAATTTGAATAGATTCACAGTTACAATCAAGTTTGACCTTATCCTTTTTATGAGGTTACCAAGGCTACTGTCTATGGTGACATTAAAAGACAAAACTACACAAAGTACAGGAAAAGCTGGAACAGGATGGGTTTTATAGCATTTTAGTACTTGATTAAAGTCTGTAATCGTTAAAACATGTAAAAAAAAAAAAAAAAAAAAAAAAAAGTATGCAATGTCGATGTACACTTTTTAAAATTTATATTAATTGAAAAATTAGGCAACTTCAAAGCCAGGCCCATTCTCTGATAGAAATAAAATGATACATAGTAAATACAGTTTTCATTTCAACAGTCTGCTAACTTGCTGGGAGTGAAAATGCTCTGTGCAAATATGGAAGGCACTTCATTAAAGGGATGCAACTTTGAGGACCCTGCAGGAAGTCGTGCCAACATGGAAGGTAAATTGTTTGTTTTTGTCCAACAATATGATTCCTGGATCACTGGTAATTTATTGTTTATCATTTATTATTCTTTCATTCAGGTTGTAAAATATTACATAGTACAAATGTACTAGCTATTGAAGAAATCTGACCAAGTTTTAATCTAGAATGATTTGGCATGTAACAAATACTAAAATTTTACCAAATGTTAATGAACGGAAAAAAATTAAAATCAGAATATAGTAGTTATTCACTGCAAAAGAAAAGAATGTCTCCCTTCTAAGTATGAGTATTTAGTAATGATAATAAAGAAAACATAACAAACATTTTCAGTGCATGTAACTTAATTGAGCAGGTGCACTAATGAAAAGTGTGAATTTGGAAGGAAGTCACATGGCGGGTGTGAATTTGAGAGTGGCAACATTAAAGAATGCTAACTTACAGAACTGTGATCTCAGAGGGGCTGTATTAGCTGGGGCAGATCTTGAGGTACGCATAAAAATAAGTCAACTTCATACCAAAATTGATTGTTTTGGATTTTATGCCATTTCAGTAAGATACTATTTTTTTATGGTTCATGATATATATATATATATATATATATATATATATATATATATATTGTACATTGAGCACTGATTATGCATGAATTACCATGGCTCTAATGTATCTATAGCCTTTAAAACTCAGAAAACTAAATGTTATGTTTTAAATTTACATTTTGAATATTGGAAATCTTGTGCCAGAATTGTCTCAGACACTATGAACTACTGAATGTAAATGTGTGATGTTACACAGAATAGAGGAGGTGGCCACACACTTGACTTTCATATATAAAGGGGTTTATCACTGTCTTAATGTCAGCATTGGAAAATATGTAGGTAATATTTGGACATATTTTGGTAAAAATGCTTGAAAATAAATAGCAATAAATAAATTCTAAAGTTTAAGTCTCTGTGATAGCAACAATCTCTTTCAACACCACAAAGAGGTCACTTAAAATTTGAAATTCACATGTCAGAATTTATTATTGATACATGTAAGAGTTATGGTAAGAAGTGGTTTTACTTGAAGTTTAATTTCTTGATATAATTGGGTTGATAGAAACACTGAAACAGTGATTTAACTCACCCTAACAATAATATTTCACTGCAACTGTATTGATAGAGAAATGGGAAAAAAAACAAGGATTTACAATTAAAGATGAACATCTCATTACATCTGTATTGGCAAAGATAGGTAAAGGAAATGGTAATAGTTTTGAATGAAAAAAAATACTGTTTTCCAAATATTAAACTTGGAGACTTTTTATCTCTAAAAACTGTAATTTGGAGAAGAAAAGTTAAACACCATGAAGCTGAACACAGTTTGTAAAAGGCAGAGATCTCTGTTTGTCTGCCATTTTACTCTGCATTTTCCTTTACCTGTACGGTCCCTATATAAGCCGTTCACTTGGTCACGGTTCAGTGTAATCTGTTTTCACCGGTGTGGACAGACGTATTCTATATAGCTATTGTAAAACTCTTGGTGGTGACAAAAAGTAACTGTGTCCTTCTTTTATGGCAGAAGAAAAAGTAACCAAAAAAATAACATCAGTTGCACAGGTCAGTGCAGTACAAAAAACAAACAGAAATACACATAAACTGCAATAAAATGTAAACAAAGGTAATGCAAGATAACCAACACGATCATGTGCCGTCCATTCCAAGCAGGTACCTGTGACAAGAAAGCAACCAGGTGTAATGAATGTGAAGGGTATAACCCCCGTGTTAATATCAGAAATTGGAAAACTAATATGGTGTATGCCTATTTACCAAGTTGTGTTCAGCATTTAATTAAATCTTAATTATGTATCAAAAGATGTATCAACAAGTGGAAACAAAAAAAAATTAATTACTGAGTAATGAAGTCATCAGATGGGACCAGAGAAAAAATGAATTGATTGGTTATGTGAAAGAAATGGTAAAAATATAAAGTATGTGCATGTGTTCATGTATATTCATTCTATATTTTATATCATATAACATGTACGTGGTTTTCCTTATCCTTTTCAGAACTGTGATATGTCTGGTTGTGATCTACAAGAAGCAAACCTGCGAGGGGCCAATTTGAAGGGGGCTGCACTCAAGTTGATGTTAAATCCTCTCCATATGGCCCAGGCTGTGAGGTGAAAGGTTAAACAAAAAGCAGGAACTTTAATCACAGTTAATTGGCAAAGAAAGTGGATCCAGTCGTTGATTTAATCATAGATAAGTCAGGAACAGCAAAAATATTTTTTGAATCAAAAAATATTTGGCTATTTATTAAAAGTAAGAAGTGATTTTGTTTATATTTAAATAAAATGAGCTTATTTAAAGAGCATTTTTATGTGAAAATTTAATTTGACCATGTTTTGATCTCAGAAAATTATTAAAAACAATGTGTAGTTGCTATGTATTTTCTAAGGAAAAAAAATATGTATGTTTATAAAGAATGTGTTTATTCATCATTACTACTGTTTGTAGAAATTGATGAATGGAAGTAAATTTATTTATTGATTTGTCCTATGTTTGTGTTATGGTATGAATATTGAAATAGAAAATTTAAGCATTTAATAAACAATTTGATTTACGTTTACTTGTTACTTCGATTCCTTGTCATTGTATACAGAGGCAAAGTAGAAAAGGATAAAAAAGGATTTTATAGAAGTCCTAAATATCAATCGCCATAGGTGTGTGTGATACATGTATGCATGCATCTATTTCATCACCATTCCCATCCTCCATCAATCTTCTAACGTCATCTTCACTTTCTAGTTTGAATTCATTACAGGACCCTATACCATCAAGATAAGTCACGTGAATGTTTTCATCTGTCGGAGAACACAGGCAGCATAGACCACATTTATGACGCATGCCGAAATTCCGTGTTCGCTCCAGAAATGTTTGTGGTAAATCAAATCGAAATTGTGGCACTGGTCGAATGAATGATCTCTTGGACTTCGATTTTGACATTCCTAATTCTTCTAATTTGAGACGCTTTTCAGCACCGCTATATTTCACACATTGATCTAAAGTATAAGAAACAAGAAAATTGTAAATCATTCAACTGCTTCAAGAATAGTTATGCACTCATTATTATAACTTGTATGTATTGAGATGTTATTTTAAGAGCATACTTTCATACAAAAGAAGTTCAAACACATTGTCCTCGGTCTCTTCAATTTCGTAGAAAATAAAAAATCGCTCGTCTGGGTCTTCTATTGAAATCGGTCGTTGAGCCTGAAAGGGATTATAATTCAGTGTTACACTAGGGAGCTAGGAAACTTGGTTTTTAACTTTTTATACGCCCATCCAAGATGGATGTATTACGGTATGTTGTCCATGTCCATCTGTCCGTCCATCCATTTGTTAGCTTATTAGCGTCTGGCTCATAACTTTAATACTGTGAGGCATAGAACAGAGGCATAGGCGTAAAACTTTGTGTTCAAGGTACGAAAATTACCTAACTTAATTAACTCCCTTCATCGCCAGTTGATAATTCGATCAATTGAAAAAGGTTCTAATGGAATGTTAGACATTTTGCTAAAGAAATAAAGGAAAGGAAAGCTTTCATAAAACAGCACAAATAGCAACAAGAAAAACTAAGTGACAAAACAGTAAATAAAAGAATGGTGAACATTTATAATCCTGGAATTTATGCAAGGAGGTTGTGTTGGAGCATCTCTGATCAAGCAAGTGTTAGCATTAAAATGTTTTACTAGGTAATGACATTGTTCAACTTTCATTGTCAACCGAGGCGCAGCTAACTATTTGTTTTCATTTGTAGCTTCAAAGAAATCATTGAAATTTTGTACCAAGATTGACATTATTCTGTTCAATGCAAACTTATCTATTTATGATAAATAAATATCTGACGCGCGTATCATGTGCGTGGTGGTACACTTATTAATAAGTCAGTGTTGTGTTTCTAATTTCTTTATAGTATTGTCTGGGTTTTTTTTAATTTTTGAAATATAAAGAATTTTAATTGGAAAATACACAGAAATATAGAAAGGATATGAACGCCAACTCATTAGGACTGAAAAATGCTATGCAAATTAATTTTACCATTAAAATAAGTTCTTTGTTGTCCAAGTCCCCTATTACGTCATAAGCTTGGTCGTCTGCTCGACAGCTAATGGTGCACACTTCTCTTGTAACTGTTTGTTTAGCCCACTTCACTGTACAGAAGTAAAACTGGAAGCTGAACAAGTCTACAACGAAAACCAAGTTGTAACCTTAAATGAAAACGAGCTTCTCCTTGCAATTGATGTTTTCCTTTTATGGTAAGACATTTTACCAGCAAATGATAAATATAAAAATAAATGACCAAGCTGATTCAATATATTACGGAGCAAAATTTGAGACAATTCACAACTGAGAATAAAAAAAAATTATAAACGATTTTTTTAAAGATACATGTACGTGTATCTCTTTTTAGCGCGAGCCATGCAATCCTTAGGAGTAAGAGAGAGGATGGAAGAACTAAACACGTTAACTCTCGATTCCTGCCTATATTTTACATGCACGTAATTCAACATGTTTGAAAATTTTGCTAATGGATTCGAAATGAAGGCAAAGTAATAATTCAGTACTAGTTTCAATTAATAAAATTCTCTTAATTACAATTTGACAAAGGAGTAAAGCATGTTATCCATTGAAAAAAAAATTTAAAACGTGTCCTGATTTTAAAATAATCTGTGTATGGATAAATGGACACTTTTAAAATATTTAAGAAAATTTTAAATATGTTTTACTTAAGTTAAATTTATGAAATCAGATCAATTTATTTAAAATTTAAACATTTATAGTTGTAGTATCATTTGAACTGGTCACTGATTTCGAATCACGCAGGAGTGTCTTTTTTTTCTTTAACATAGCTTTAAAACATAATTGAAAAATAAATTATTTATTATCAATAAATAATTCAACGAAATAGGGGAATCGAATGTGTAAAAGATGATACTGACAACCAAATTTTTGCAAAAAATATAATTTTTTATGAACTTTCAGAATTCAGAAGTATCTTCAGTTGTCTCAGAGCGGAAGTTTGTCCTTGCCCTGTACGCCTCCACTCTTTACCAAAAATACAGATTTAGCTCTCTTTCTTATCATTGATAATTCAAATTTTCTAAAAATTCTTTAAAATATCTATATCAATTAAAAATAATTCGAATATGATGACTTTTGAAAATTGACCTGTAGGTGGCGAAACAATGGTATCGTTTACAGTCCTTTAGAAACGTGGTTGCAAATGAAGAGATACTTACAATACTTTAGGTCGTCGTCCTTGTTTATCGTTGCACCTATCAAGGTTCCTGTGTGTGGTTGGAATCGTACATAGGTCCCTGATATGGCTTCCACTTGAATTAATTTGTCAATGACTTTTCCGTGCATTCTTAATTTCCCGTGCTTTCTAGTAGGCTGATAAGAAAATGTCGCTTTTGGGACTTGTTTCTTAGTCTTAAAGCTAAGCTGTACGCAAATTTCTGATATATCCTTTCTACTCCAGCGCCACAAAGTCTGAATGAAAGTTTTTGTAAGAAAGATGAATTAATATTTAAGAACTCCAAGAATTTTGTAAATTTACAAAAATACAAATGTATCTTATTAAGTATCATCTATTCAAAACCCAGAGAGACCTAAAAGGTTTTGGGTAATTGATAATAATTTGAATAAAACCATTCAGGTTTTCCACTTTTCTTTAGGTTAGGCAAGAACATGTTCTAAGTGCTACAATTTTCAAACCGAAACAGGCTACTGACTAAGAAGTTGATGTGACAGGGCTTTCCACAATTTAGTTTAAAGTTAGCATTTTGTTAACGTTACAATGGCCTCATTTGCAACTACATCCTATTGTTAGGTCATATTTTGACTAAATGTTTTATACCAACTGTTAGGCCATTTTTAAATACATGGACTAATTTTGATTACTCTATTTATCAACCAGAAGTCTCTGACGAGACTGTAGCTCTACTGGTTGTATTTATAAAGGAAGATAAAATTTAGCACTTTGACTTGAAACTTTGCAACAGCAATAAACAGAATAATGATCCTTGGTTTAGTCTCTTTTGTGGCAAGATTTATTATTATATCAGACTAAAATTTCTATTTTTAGTAACCATGGCAACACTGTTCATCGAAATCCGAAACTGGTACAGAGAATAATGTATCTTAGTGTAGTTTACTTGTGAGCTAAGTAATACTAAAATCAGACCAAAACTGTAGGGGTAGCATTTTGAAGGTATTTCGAGGAAATTTCTATTTTTAGTAACCATGGCAACAATGTTCATCGAAATCAGAAAATCAATATAAAGAATTATGTATCTTAATGTAGTCTACTTGTTTGCCAAGTTATACTGAAATCAGACCAAAACTGTAGGAGGAGTAGCATTTTGAAAAATTGTTTACAGACGGACAGACAGACAGACAGACAGACGGACGGACGACGGACACCTTACTATCGCATAAGCTCTTCTGGTCTCTCACCAGTAGAGCTAAAAACAAAGTGATCACGGCGGGTGTGACCGGTCAACAGGGGGTGCTTACTCCTCCTAGGCACTTGATCCCACCTCTGGTGGGAAAGAAAGTATACACTACCAGTGTCGTCCTGTTCCTATACTTGACACACTTTTTCGGGCTACTCAGCTCTGTTTGGAGGATATCTCTCAAGGCTTGGGGACCAGTGTTCTTGACGTCGTTGCTGTTAATTCGAATGATTCTATCATACCTCCTGAAAAGATTTTTTAAACAATAGATTGTTGGACTGCATGGGGCGTCTTCTTTTCATGCAAAGATTTTTTATTAATTCTGCTTCATTAATATACAAGAACAGGTCTGCTAATAAAGAGGCACATTTAGATCCCTGGATTTCAACAGATTGCTGGTTGTCAATGAGGAATCCAGACACCTTTTTTTTTCTTTTTCTTTTCTTTTTTTTTTTTTTTTAAAAATCAGCTTCAGAGTACATGTACTTGTGTGCTGAATCACAATGGTGTTTGCAGCTTAAGTAAGTTTGTATATGACAATGAGAAGATAGGAAAAACTGCGCGCTCCATCCTTATTAAGAAGCAGTTGTCTATTATGTCAAATAGGTTGGGGGTTTTATTTATCGCAGGGCCTGGATGTATAAAGTGTTGAGAAAGCCAGCTTATCTTAAGTTTATCGTATACTATTCCACTATCACGTGTTTATGTATCCAAACGTATTCGATGTGCGTTGGGGGAAGGTACTGGCAAATAAGTAGATGTTACAGGGATTTCAACAACCTCGTTTAAAGTCAGTATTTCGAAAATTTCATATGGGAGTTATAGTTTGCAAATACAAGCTATCATTTGGTTATATTACAGCTTACATTTTTTCATACTCATTGTTCGGCCATCGTACTTCGTCTACCTGATCAATATATAGTGCTCAACGGGGTGTGACCGATCGACAGGGGATGTTTACTCCTCATAGGCATCTGATTCAATCTCTGGAGTTTCCAGGGGTCGGTTTTTATGTCCTGATCGCAAATTTGTATTGTGTTGAGAATACTGAGATCATTCTCTTTTTGTTATTTTCAGCTTTTTCATTTTGGTTGAAAATTACGTATACCGGAATATTTTGGTAAGAAAATTCAATTTGCTCAACTTATAAACTATAGCGGAAAGGACTACTTCTGCCTTTTCAGTCATTTCATTTCATAGAGAAAAATTACCAAATTACATATCTATAGTATTTTAATCAGACCATATCCCTTTGTCATTATCGATTTCATTTCATATGTTTTGGCAGTCGTATAACGTCAAAAATTTTATTATAATGAATTAATGAAAAATAAATGAGAAAGGGTTGAAATTACTGAATAGCGATACAAAAAAAAAAAAAAATAAAAAATAAAATAAAATAAAAAAATAGGTGTCACGTTTTTAACTGGGGCGTAAAGAAGGTATGGCGTGTTTTAATAATAAGCAAAGGCTACAGATGTTGTATAAAATTAAAGTAACTCTCAATTTTCAAGCTGGATATAGTATTCACTAAGTACGAATAAAAACAAGTACTGAAAATATTTCCCGTTTTGTAGATTGTCCATCAAACGGTATATAAAAATACTAGTATTGCCTGTGGCGAAAAATTGCGATACATTCACTATACATAAGTGAAAAATAGTATAAGATTTCATATTAAAGCTTTCTGTGCACAGTTAAGAAAAGATATAGAACAATCATTCTGAGAGTATTGCATTAGCAATACTAGTCCCCTACCGGAAAGTATAATCTGGTTCCCGTTAAAAATTGAAAATGCCATAAGTCCGTCAAAAATCGGTGAAGCGGAACGAAACGCGAACTTAACTCATCAAGGTAAAGTCACTTGCTAAAATTCAGCTCAATATCTGCAAGCGTTTAGAAAAAATTGCGGAAAACCCTGAAAAATTGAAAAGGTCGTAATTCCATCAAAATCATTGAAGTGGAACGAAATGCAAACTTGATCTGTAACTCATCAAGATACGCTCAAGATATAACAAAAATCAGCTCAATATCTGCAAGCATTTAGAAAAACAAGATGTGTTTGTGAAACACTGATGCCAGGCGCGTAGCCAGAATGGAAATGATGTGTACGCAGAGAACGGCAGGGGGTGGGGTAGGGGGTTTTGAGGCCCCTCAGTGTGTCAAGGGCTCTGGTCAGGCACGTAATATAGTTTCTGCCAGCCAGGAAAAAATTACAACTTTAAAATTTTGAAAAGCAAGGGAGAAAAAAGTTCAAAATTTGAAGTGTTTATTTTGTGTGTGTTTGTTCGGGGGGGGGGGGGGGGGGTCCAACTTTCACGAACCAAAGTTTATTAATACATTACCAAATTACCATGAATTAACAATTTTACAACAAACAGTGGGGGTTCACCCTTTCAATGTACATTTTCAATAGTAAAAGGTTAGGTTTGGAAATAAGTTGGGGTGGAGCCCCCCCCCCCCCCCGATACTACGTGCCTGCTGATGAGGGCCTAGAATTAAGCTGCTGAGTTTTACCAAATATTTCATTCATTTTCTTGCAAAATAAGAATTATGCCATTTAGCTTTTGTTTGGGAAATAAGAGACATGATAGTAAAATAAAAGACATAGTAATATTTATTGTTTTAACAAAGTTAAAACTTCCATGGAAACTTATTGTACATGTAGTTGAGCCTGAGGCTAAAAATATAACCGATATATTGGTATCATATAATTTTTTTAACGTTTAAAAACACGTATGCTAAATTTTAATTATGAACAAAAAATATCGTATTGTAAATCATACTAGTAGATTATAGTATTCAACGATGTGGTTGAAATTTAATTTCTCAAAGATCTTTTAAAAAAATGTCAATGTATGATAGAACAATGACAAAATAGTGAATGATTTATTTGGATTTGGAAGTGATTAAATAAAGAATTTCAAATTTTATCATACAGCCATGATAATTCAAAATTTAAATCGAAACAGTATGACACAGAATAATTTGAAACACGAATATTTGTTCGTGGTACTGAGATTTTTTCTCCGAATAATTCTCTTTTTTTTTTTTTGAAAATGATGTGTACGCACTTGCGTATAGGCAGCTACGCGCCTGGATGCCCCCGTATGACAGCTTATGGCGAAGGTTAAAGTTTCTCAAATGCAAGTCAAAATCCAGGCCTAAAGTTAAAAAATGTTGGTACCCAAAGAAAGGACTTGTCTCGAGGAATATACCTGTGAAATTTGAAAGCCCTAGCTGCAACTGTTCAAAAGTTATGGCGAAGGTTAAAGTCTTTTAAAAGTAAGTAAAACGTCAAGGTCAAGGTCAAAGTGGTATGGCGCCGAAAACCGATTGAAATACACATTTCGCCGTATTTGAATTTCAACTCTAAATTTCTTTTAAAATATCCTTACATGTACAACAACCTTAATTTTATTCAGTATTTTAATAAACAAAGTTGTAGATAATATTTTTCATAATATTACGGATTTTTTAAAAACACAGGACAAGTCCTTTAAAATTGAGGACTTTTTTCAGTTTTCTGAAATTTATAGAGTTGATATTACATCACAAAGATTTATCACGTAGGTATATTTCTTTTGAAGTGTCTGATATTTCGTTAGTATATATACGATATGGTTTTCAAATAGAAAACTATATTGTCATTATCATGCTATTGCATGTTCACTAAAGGATTTTTTTTTTTTTGCACAGGATCGTCATTTTTACTCCAAAGAAGCAGATGCAAGGTACAATTTCGCTCATTCTGCAGGGAGAAATATATATATATATGGCATGTATAATTTATTTTTGTCAGTGTCAATTAATATGTACCGATGGACAGCAATGTGTGACACAAGGTATAAAATGTCGCCTGCGAAAACATGTAAAGAGCAACAAAATGTACTATCACAGGGGATCTGTCCTAAGGCATCTATGACTTTTACAACATGTGTACAATTTAAGAAACTACTGTATAAATAATAAAACTTAATTCAAATAATTTGCACTCACTTTATTTCACTAGTTTCCTCTGTCACGTGACTGACCACATGATAATATTCTCCTCGATGTTTCCGTGGAGGTGGAATGGTTACTATAATAAACAAGGTTCTATCAAGGTCGCACACCTCACAAAGTTGAATGGAACTGTCCGGTTCATCTCCTCCAGATAATGAATGCTGTTGAAAATAAAAACTTCCTTGATTTAGCGACACTTGGGTCATTAGCGAATATCAGTAATTATAGGGAAGGAAATGTAATTTTTTTCAATTTTAAATAATTTATATATGAGCTGACCACACCTATTCAACACACTAAAACATTAAGTGTTTCAAATAGACTCCATGATTATATGATTACCATGTTTTTGTTTGTTTGTTTTTTGGTTTGTTTTTTTAATTTTATTTTTGGTTGTTGTTTTAGACTAGTATGGAGATAAATGAACATATTTTTTCAAGAGTTATGAAGTTTATCATGAATTGACTCACAATTAACTCAAAATAAAGTGCCTAATTTTAGTCAAACAATTCATTGAGAGGTAAAAAGACCTAAAACTGATCGACTTTACCCCACAAGAATTTTCAGACATGACATGGACATATAATTATTTAAATGAACCCCATTTTATCTCTCCCTGTCGTAAAAAACACAAGGGTACAATTACACATATAAAGAAGATAGAGATCTTAGATGTTTCCTCACCACAATGAATATTTCTAGCAAATTCAAAGTAACCCTGTTATGATATAGTTTTTACTCATCTTTAGAACTGTAGATTAATTAGACTCGAGGAAATGCCGATGATAAAAAAAAAAATAATAAACTGATGTCGACAAAATGAGAAAAACCAGGTCCATTACATGTATATATTTTAAATAGAAAAAACTAATAATTATTTTGAATAATTTGATCAAACACGAAACAATATCATCTGCCTTGCACAGTGTAGTTCTGCTTAATTTTGCAAAAACAAATTCATTGTTTTATTCAATTAAAGAAAAGATAAAAACTACTGAAGTTGCATTTACCGGTAAATGAACTTCAACCAAATTTTATTTTTTAAAACAAAACAATGAAAAAAAAATGCTAATGTGAATAACTTTTAAGCCAACCTAAGAAGAGATTAAACGATTGGTATTGCAATTTAATATTTAAAGCTGAATTTTACCTACAGAAAAACTCACCTATTTGAAATAATTTGTATGCTATTCATCTGCCAAGGGTTTGTTTAATATCACAGATTGACCCCCCCCCCCCTTTCAGCGGAACAGATTTTAATCTGATAATGTAATAAAGTTTCAATATTTTTAAACAGTGAATAAACTTTTTCCTAAAAAAAAATGCGTCTTCAAGTGTATAGCTAAAACATCCCTATGACTACCACATAGTAATTTAGCCCTCTTACCTCAGAACTGCCAGAAGATGTTGTCGAGGAAGAAGTAGAGGAGGAGGACTCTCGTCGTTGCTTGTGAAGAAGCCGCTCAGGTGATTTGAGTTTGTTTTTATTTCTAAAGGTAGTTGAGTTAATCAGTTGTATCTCTGTATCTGACTGAAGGGATATTTTTGACGTCATGATTTGACATCTGAACCAGACTGCATTGTTGTAAACATTATGACTGGGTAAATGTCTTCCTCAATCGCTTGTTTCCGATCGCAAATCTCATTTGTGAGTCAAGAGCTCAACAGGTCAAAGTTCACAATGACTGCTTGTATTTCAAGTAAGAGACAAGAAAGTTCATGTAAGAACGATCAAAAGGATAACTATAAAAGTATAAATGTTTTTGAAAAAAAATTACGACTCGAGGCAATCTGGTGGTTACTTCCGTAAAGCTTTTTAGTCAACGCTTTGAGCAGTGGACATCATATATGAAAGTTTAAAGAATTTTTTTTGTCAAGTAAAATCGTATTTTCTTCTTTAATGAATTATTTAATAGCCCTGTATTCATGAAAATCTTTATAAAATGCTATTATTAGCAAACAAATGTCAGTTTATTTTCAACAAAAATGGTTGATATCAAGAAAAAAAAGCATAATAAGAAAAATTTAAAGAGCTTTTATTTACAAACGGTCATATACATGTAGTCTATTTACATGTATATAGATTACATTATACTTTAAAAAAAAACAAAGTATACTTACATACAATTTTCTTGATTATGTTTTGTTTTGTTTTAGTTTTTGTTTTGCAGATGACATGAATATCTAATATTAAAACTAGAACACAAATCATCACACAACTTAAAACAACAGTGCAGAGGGGATAGAAAAATCCAAGAAATAGATGACACCACCTTTTCTATATTAATAATAATGATAAACAAGTATCCGATTAACTGGTATTCACCTATCACTACTATCACCAGGATTTTCTTTCGGCTGTTACCAATTTCCACCATTATACATGCAGTACTCCCATGTCAGGTAAACGTCTCAATAAATATGGAGATATCGAACAGTTATTTAAGCTCAAAGTCTATTAAAAAATACAAATCGGGAGCAGAGCAAACACGGACCTTCAAAAACATCAGAGGTGGGATCAGGTGCCATGGAGGAGTAAGCATCCTCTGCCGACCGGTCACACCCGCCGTGTGCTCCTTGTCATGATCGGGGGAAAATGGAAATTCCGTAGACATTTCATAGTGCAGATAATGGCCTAACAGTTAGTATGAAAAATGTCAGTCAGCAATTGACTTAATGATAGGTTGTATTTGCCGACAAGGTCATTATATCGACCATAAAACTTGCGAAATGATGACTTCAAACGGGACTGTTGATATCCCTGTTTCATCAACTTGTATGTCAATAGCTTGCCTCGTTTTAGATATTGATTATACGTAGAGCGTGCTCTTAATTTCATTACAAAATTCCTTAATTTAAGTACAAATTAGTAAATATACACAAGTATATGTAAAATATTTCTTGCAACTTTGCTTCAATGAACACCAGTATTTACAGAGTAGAATTACGCGTATCGTCCTATTAATGATGAGTATTTTTAGACATAATACTATAAAAATAAACAATACTATAAACAAAATTTATTGTATGTAACTTTAATTTATTGAGCAGGTACCCTATAAAAAAGTGAATTTGAAAGGAAGTCATATAGCAGTGTGAATCTGAGCGTTAATTAACGATATTAACGTAAGCAAACTTACAAAACTGCGATTCAGAGGAGCCGTATCAACTATAGCTGATCCAGGTATAATAAGTACATGTCCATGCATACAGAGACTGTATATATTTTTATATCACGTGCTTCGATCTATTTACATCCTTATCCATTTACATGTTTACACAGTTTAATGGTAATACATGTATTTCACTACAACTACCTTGATAGGGATATGAGAAAAGAATTTATACTGAGAGTTGAGTACCTTACTTTTATCTGTAATTGATATACTAAGCATATGAGGAGAAAAATAGTGGTTCTGTAAGTAAAAACAATCTTTCGTCCAGTGTAAACCTGTAAAAATCCTTATCTCTACTTCGTCCACTTCGAGCAGAACAATTCCTTAATTTGAATTATCTTTTTAAAAAGATGGGTCAGTGAGTGGAAATGTTTAGCAGGTAACGTAGGATCCCCGGAAATTCCAGAGGTGGGTTCAGGTGCCTAGAAGGAGAAAGCATCCCTTGTTGACCGATTACATCCGCCGTGAGCCCTATGCAAAAGACAGTTCTTTCTCATTCATCAGTTATGATCTATGATAAGCAAATATATGAAGGGCCAATTTGAAAGACGCATCACTCATACCCAAGCCCTGAGGTGAAAGCCAAACAAAGGGCATCGATTTTCTAGTTATTGGTGTATTAATTGATCATGTCTTTTTTATTCGTTTGATACATAAATTAAGTACCAAAAATCATTTTTGTTGGGCTCGATGATTCTATACATGCATTATAAATGAAAGGAAACATCGATGGGGTATACAGGTCTATAAATCAACAAACTTTTACATGTATACACACTTTTTCCGAGTACCCGGGTACTCGATCGGAAAATCGTCCGAGTAACCGATTATCAAATATTAACCGATTTGACATCCCTAATATATATAACGTTCTTTCTTGTATTCTCATTCGATCAAATAACCTGTTAATTAAATTATATACATGTACAAGGATTTCTTGATTAACACAATCTAGCAAAGGGGAGTAACTCTCATTTGCTTCACTTATTAAAATTGTGTACTAGTCTTTGCCTCCTAGATACATGTACTCAGGAGCAAAGAAAAGGCACAATTACTTATCATGATACTTGACACATTCACATCGATATCATGGCATTTAGTTTGTTTGCTAAGTACTCAGAGGGAGAGGATTTCCAAAACATTAATGCATTTTTGCTAATTAATCAATAGAGCCCAACCAAAGCACCAGAACCTCTGACCCAGGGGCCATGAAATTCATAATTTTGGTAGAGGCACTCTTCCTCATCATAACTTTGTACTTAGTTTATCGGCTAAATACCCAGGAACAGAGGAGAAGATTTTCAAAGAATTAATGCATTTTCACTATATAACTATTAGAGCCCCGCCCTAACACCATGAAATTCACAATTTTAGAAAAGGCTCCCTTCCTCATCATAACGATGTACTTAGTTCATCGACTTGATACGAAGGAACAGAGGAGAAGATTTTTGAAAAATTAATGCATTTTCATTATATAATCAGTAGAACCCCGCCATAACAACAGGACCCCTGACCCTGGGGCCATGAAATTCACAATTTTGGAAGAGGTACCTTTTCTCATCATAACTATGCATACTGTTTGTTTGCTTGATACCCAGGAGCAGATTAGAAATAATGCATTTTCACTATATATGCAACAGAGCCCCGCCCTAGCACCAGAACCCCTAACCATGGGGCCATGAATTTCACAATTTTGGTAGAGGACTCAATGCTTATTACAATCATGCCAAAGTTTGACTGCTTGATGTCCAGGAGTAAAAAAGATATTAAAAAATCGCATTAATTTTGTGGTTTTGGCCGCACACCGAGCCCCAGGGGGGGGTAGGGACCATGAAATTCACAATTTTTCTTTCCCTTTACTCATAGATACTATATGCCAAAATTGGTTGAAATTGGTTGAGCGGTTTCAGAGAAGAAGCTGAAAATGTTTAAATGCTAACGGACGACGCACGACGACGGACGAAAACAGATAGCAATAGGTCACCTGGGTAAACTCAGGTGACCTTTTAAAGTGAACATTTTTAAAGGAAATTATTTGTGTTAATGTTTTGTGTCGACCATGCTTTGGTCTCAGAAAATTATGGAAAACTAAGTACATTGTTGTTTTGTATTTTCTATGTGAAAAAAAACATGTAAAAGATTATTTATTGATTAGACCAATATTTGTGTTATGGGATGACTATTTAATTAATGAATTGAAGCATTCACTCGATAATTTCATTCGTTTTTACATGTTACATTTTTGTACAGAAGCAAAGTATTTTTTTTACAGAAATGTATGTGATATGCAAGCATCTGTTTCATCTCCATTTCCAGGCTCCATCAATAATTCAATTTTAACGTCATCCTCACTTTCCAATTTGAATTCATTACTGGACCTTATACCATCAAGATAAGTCAAGTGATTGCTTTCATCTGTCGTAGAACACATGCAACACAGACCACATCTGTGACGCATGCTGCGGTGACGCATTTTGATGTTCTTTTTTTCCTTAAGACATGTTTGTGGCAAATCAAAAACGAATCCTGATACTGGCCGAATGAATGATCTTTTGGACTTTGATCTTGACATTCCTAATTTTTCCAATTTGAGAAGCTTTTCCTCACTACTATATTTCACACATTGGTCTAAAATACATGAAACAAGAAATTTGATCATACATGTATATAGTTCAACTACGTCATGATCAAGTATGTGTGACATGTTGTTATTAATTTTCTTAGCATAACAAAAAAACATATCGAGCGATATTTTAAGAGCATACTTTCATACAAAAGAAGTTCAAACACATTGTCCTCGGTCTCTTCAATTTCATAGAAAACAAAAAATCGCTCGTCCGGGTCTTGTATTGTAATCGGTCGCTGAGCCTGAAATGGATTATAATTCCATTTTATACAAAAAGGCAAGAAACATTGTGGTTTTTATTCATAAATCATTTGATTATTTTTTTAATTTAAGTCGTTTTTCTTTTATTTCTAACACAACTGAATTTTGAGTGGAAAAATACATTGTAATTGGCTTCAGATAATAGAAATTCTTGGTTAATAAAACATCCGACAACAGTACTGATACCTTCTGATAGGTTTAATTTTGCACTGAAGATTTTTTATTTTAAATTTATTTTACCATTAATTTAACTTCATTATTGTTCATTTCCCCTATTACGTCATAAGCTTGGTCATCTGCTTGACAACTAATGGTGCACACTTCTCTTGTAACGGTTCGTTTAGACCATTGCATTGTACAGAAGTAAAATTGGAAGGTGAACAAGTCTGCAATGAAAACCAAGATGTAAAATTTCTTACTGAATTTAAGGAGTATGACCCTCAGGCCCGTGCAACGATACCTTTCTGTAATTACGACAATGACCAAATGATTATCATTGTAAAAAAAACAAACCTGATTTAACATTTTACGGACAGAAATATAAGACAAATCATCGATGGAGATGAAAATACTAATTATTATTTTACTAATTATTAACTAATTTATTAACTATTAA